TCATTCCTTTAGAGTAGTGTATTCTTAGTCATTGGTACTGGTAATTATAATTAGTAATTATAAATTGGTGGTGTAATTCTACATCGTTAGTAATTATAAATTGGTGATGTAATTCTCCATCATTTGTAATATTAAATTGGTGATGTAATTCTCCATCATTTGTAATTATAAATTGGTAATTATAAATTATAAATTGGTGAAATGGTAAATTCTACATCATTAGTAATTATAAATTGGTGATGTAATTCTCCATCATTAGTAATTATAAATTGGTGGTGTAATTCTACATCATTAGTAATTATAAATTTGGGATGTAATTCTCCGTCGGTAGTAATTATAGATTAGGAATGTTATTCTCAATCCTTAGTAACTATAAAGTGATGTAATTCTTTATCATTAGTAATTATAAAAAAACAATATCAAAACTTCTGTAATGTGATTCCTCAACAGGAAGTTATATAGGTGGATTTTCATAGTAATTAATGATATATTAACTAGTCACTGATTCACCATGTTTTAAGAAGCCAGTGTTTTTATAAGGTTTTAGACCTGATTTAGTTGTTTAATCAAACCAAAAAGATAACAATATAGACACTATCTATTGCACCATGTTTACAGACCCAAACATTGATAAGGGTAATAAAAGTTCCATAGGTATTTGTCACCCAACAACCTTCACATTGGTATCTGTAACATACAATGAACTCGACAGAAAATGGAAGATAACAATTCAATCAGCACCGTAGACATCATACTAAAAAAATTCAGTACAATACACATGTTTTGAATCTTTCATGTAAAACATATTTCAATGTGGTGCCTATGGTAGACATACTGGATTTAAAATTGACTCCAAACCATTATATCCATTCCTGTTTGCCTAACATTAAGTAGAGTTTAAGTTCAAAACAAGAGATTTCCTCTTTGCTGTAATGGGGAATTCTCTCTGACTGAGTCACTAGTTATAGAAATGGCTTGTATTCCACATGGACAACGTACAGTCATCTTTTTATTAGTCAGCACTGCAGGTCAATCTTAATACCAATAAATAAAGGAAATTAAGGGATTTTTCATGTGTACAAAATCATTTATCTCCCCAAAAAATTGAGCAAAGGTTATAAACGATCAGGAATGAAATAAATTGTATATGTAGAACAACATCTCACAACCATTACTTACTGGTAACAAAGTCTAATTCACTGATACGGAGATGTGCATGTGATGGATAAGGGAAGAGGAAAGTAAGAAACACAACGATGTAACTTCCGTGTAGTCACCAAGGTACAGGGAAACACAGAGTGGTTTCTAATCATTCATTACAAAGTTTATATCAATGAAAAAATATTCATATTTCACAACTCGGTATATATTTAATTAAAGTGAAGGCACGGTGCTATTTTGCTTAAGATTACAAAAAGGGCATATACCATAACAACTGACATTCCAGCCAAGTTTAAAAAAACAAAATGTATACAAAGCTTGGTTGAGTGTCATTTTATAGAAACACCTGTGTATGTAATATTTGAAATCAATAACTAAGTGTACATTTTAAAGTACCAGTGTATATTGAAAATTATTGATTCTACCTTTGTATGTTGTAACAGCTACCACACCTAACATAAATACATTGATTCTACCTTTGTATGTTGTAACAGCTACCACACCTAACATAAATACATTGATTCTACCTTTGTATGTTGTAACAGCTACCACACCTAACATAAATACATTGATTCTACCTTTGTATGTTGTAACAGCTACCACACCTAACATAAATACATTGATTCTACCTTTGTATGTTGTAACACAACATTACAATACCAACCTTTTATAAATATATAAACCAACTGGCATTCAAGCATAACACACACATATTTAGCAATAACAAATATGTGTGTATAAGTGAACAACTGAGGAGGTATCAAACTTGTACAATTACACAAATCTGGAATGTCTGACAGATCCAATACCAAAATCAAGAAATGGTAAAAAGCATTTTGGAAAACAACAGGATAAAAATAAGTAAAATGGATTTCAATACATCTTGTGATGCAAGTTTTATATACACTATTCAAGTAAACAAAAAGACAAATTAAAAAAATAAAATTGCAAAAGAAATATAATTAAACAAATAAATGTTTGCAGTCTTAAATGCAGACAGATTGGTTGGCAATGTTAACAGAACAAATTAGGTAATGTGTTTCTAAGACCACTGATTAATATGAGATTCAATCTGGACAGCCTTTCTATGCTCTTTTTGAAAAGCATCTACAATCAATGGGAATTTCCCCTAAAAATTTGTCCAGATCTGTCTCTGAATAACAAACATATTACTAAACCTTCAGTAAAGAAAGCCATTGAATGGGACCATTACATAAAGTAATTAAAATGAAAAATTCCAAACACCAACAAAATAATATATATAACTCCAGTAGGTTGCAATAACAAGCCTTGTTGTAGATATAAAATAGTATGTACAATGGCAAATTGGCAATAGTTCTCAAAAGACACAAATATCATTAAAAAATAGATATATGGATTTCTTGTACATTTTAAAAGTCAATACTACAGCTTCAATGGATTTCCAAATGTTATAATGCAATCCCGAGGATAGATCTGTATATCACATTTATGTGCAAAATTAGAATTAAAAACAAAAATACTGATTGCGCCAAATACAGCAGGAACAAGGACAAGCTACCTGAAATGCAATGTTAAACAAGTCCCTTTGGTTGAAAAACACTGTATGAAGTTTTATAAGCAATCCCAAGAAAGTACCTTTGGAAAGGTTGTTGCAGGAAAACAGGTTTTCTATTTGTAGTAAATGGCCTCGACCTTCAATATTCAAATCTAAAAAACAATCCTAAGCAAGCCCTGCTGGTAAGGAAGCACTGCATGATGTTGGAGTTTAATTGTGTAAAGAAAACTCCAGTTACGGCATGAAAACCAATCTCCTATATATGGTAGCACTGTCCTTGACCTTTGACCTTTGGACTTTAACTGCACTGCTAAGCAAGTAGTTCTAATAAGGAAGCACTGTATGAAGTTTTACATAGATTGGCCAAAGTATACTCAAGTAATATGAAAAAAGCAATTTCCTATTTAAAGTAATGGTGACCGTGACCTTTCACCTTTGCAGCTGAAAATCAATCTAAAACAGTACTTTTGGTAAGGAAGCAATATATAAAGTTTGTGGTTGATGAGACAAAGGGTGTTGAAGGTATCGCGGAAAAAATCCTACCTATAGTAACAGTGACCTTGACCTTTGACCTTTGGACCTGAAAAGCTAGCAAGCTCTTTTGGTAAGGAAGCAGTGTATGAAGTTTGAGGGAGGTTAATCAGCAAAAGTAATCTCAAATTATAGCAAAAAAGCCTGTGCTAATGATGCTGCTGCCACCGTCAACATAGTAATACCTTTATGTTGACGGTGGCAGGCAACACAAAAAGCACACATCATTGATATCAGTGTAAAATCAAAGGAGGAAATTGTAAAAAGACAATTTTATCAACCAAATAGGTAACAGATTGAACAAGGACAAAGCATAGTTGTCATTTGAACGAAAAAATTTCAAGCAAACATTTTTCTTCTCACAACAAACAGTGGTCATCTCAGATCTGATCATCCCACATCAAAGGAAAGGGTGAAAGGGTACGATGAAAAGTCACCAAAGAAAAATACTTTCAGTTCTACTGTATATCTATAATGTCTGAAAGTATTAAGATGATGTCCTATTTTAGGTTTGAACATCACTTGTTACGAGATCCAAAAATTTTGAATACTGATCAAAAAGTAAAGAAATATCCAGTGATTCTAGTATTCATTGTTCAGAATTTGAACAGGTCATGATATAGCCAGATTTACCTGACAAAATCAGGTGAGTTGGTGACACTGATAATACCATTGTTTGTTCTCTCTATTGTTGATATTGCTGTCATATACAGTAACAAGTGAATGGAGAAGGACAAAGTTGATAACTTACTTATTAAATGTTGATTTAACAATTTTACTTGTACATAAATGTATGTAACCCTGATTAATGACAAGAATGTTAATAAGTATATATATATGAAACTGCATCAATAACAGGTTATGCTTATGCAATAGTGATTATCAAATGTAATGCTTTAAAACCAATGCTGATATCATCAACATCTATGTGTACCCCTAAGCAAACATGGAATCATTAAAAATTATGCTTTGTATTTTTTTTTAAATACACAAACAAAGATAAATGTACAATATAATGTATAGTACAATTTCTGGACATTAACCTTTACAACACAATCATGTTAAACAATTGTAGTCTATAAAATGTTGTAAACAGTATGATATTGATTAACTAAGGTTTAACATCTAATACTAGAATATTAGAATTTCATTTCATCATTATGCAATGTCAAAGATTTTTTATTTTCAGCTCTAAAAAAAAAAAAAAGAATTTTATCAAGAAATAAGAAAGAATCTGCATCAATACTAGAATATTAGAATTTGATTTCATCATTATGAAATATCAAAGATTTTTTATCTTAAGTTCTAAAAAAGTTCTTTGAAAAAGGTGCATAATCAGACCGAGGTATAAGTTATTTAGCACACAGGTAATTAGTAAAATGTAATGATGTGAACAGTTCAAAATACACAAAAATATCTCTATACATCATATCATACTGACTTTGGTCTCTTTACTTTTGGCATTTTACAATATAACATGGATTTTTATTCAAGTTTCTAACAGGAAACTTGAGGTGAGTATTTCTATTTTTTGAAACATATGATTGATACAAAATAATATGTCATCTCATTACTTTTTAGAAGATTTAGAAAAGAATATTGAATAAATATTAGGTTGTTTAAAAAAATAATTTGTCAAGGCCAATGGATTGCCACAAATTTGTTTTGTATATGATACTGAATAGTAAAAGAAAAAGCATAAGAGAAATGTGATCCAAAAATATCAATATGCTAATCAAAAGCTATCCATACAAAATTATTTCTTAAATATTCATCGATCTTTGAGAGCCTTTTCCAGCCAATCATCAGGGACCTCATCGTCTGACAAGTCCTCTGACTGCAATAGCCGAGTATACTTTATCTCAGATTCCACCGGTGGCTGGCAACATCTTTGTAATATGAAAAACACTGGACACCATATTGCTGCTGTCAATGAGCATATTCTATAGAGAACTGCAGACCCATAAGTGTCGTAGATAACGCCTGATACAATACTTCCTAAAGCAAATCCAAGTCCAAAGTATATTGAAGATAGAATGGAGCGGATGCTTCTGTCTGCTACAGGGTTAATGTTGAATGTGGGGTTGTTGAACACTGCATACCAAAGAGCAGTGTGTGTAAGGGCATGTAGCATTTCTGCTGGAAGCACAGCCCAAGGTGTCCATAGGAAGGAATAGTACAGTGTGCGTCCTGCTAACATCAACAATGACAAACTCGCCACTCCACCGTGGCCAAGACGCTGGATTATCCCTTTACTGAAAAAAAGCATTGGGATCTCAACAATGGTAGAAATAGTGATGCATAATCCCATTATGGATTCAGAGCCTTGTAGGTCCTGGATCATCCAAAACAAGAAGTTGTAGTAGGCAGCGTAAATCATTCCGACCAACAGTAGGGTTATGACGTAGAGCAGGCCAACACATTTACAGCAAGTAGTACCCAATCCACGCCATAACTTGCTCTTATACTTGGCCTTTGCATCTGCTGATATTGGGTAGAAAAAGCCAAGCAAAAATGTAAGTCCCAGCAAAGATCCGAATACATAGAAATGCAACATGAATGGAGGAATATCCATGCCAAAAAGGCAGTCTGTTTGGCTGACTATCAGAGCAACAATCAGTGGAAAGGACATGTAGGCAAGGGAGCACCAAATACGATGTTTGCCATATTTCTCTAGTTCATCTATTTTCTCTAAATAGTCAAACCAAAAATCATCAGCTAGTTTTTCCACAGGACAAGCAAACAACTCCCCAACCAATAGGATAACAGTGACAACTACAAAGGTGTAGTCATGGCTACTATCCTTGACACGCTGTCTCAGATCCTGTAAACTTTTTTTCCAGCTAGCCAGAAGTGATGTTATGTTGATGTCTCGTTTCCTACGAACTTTTGAATCTGAAGATTGATCTGACTTTGCATTGTCTCTACCTTCACTTATTAATTTCAAAACAAATTTTACAGTCTCTGCATCAAGCATATTTTTAACATCATCTCGCATATCTTCTCTACTCATCATTTCTTTAAACACTTTATAAACATCTTGTTTGGTCATGTTCTGCACTTCCTCCTTTTTAAGTCCTAAAAACAAGAGGATATCTTTTGAAATTTCAATTTTTCTATCTTCTAGATGATCTGAAGGTGTTTGAGTTGGTTTTTCAGAAGTTTGAATGGAGGCTGGTGATGCACTACTTCCATTGGTTGTTTCATCACTGCTGTTGGTATTGTGTGGATTGTTGACTTTGGGGATAGTACCATCTTTCTGAGATACATTACTCTCATTATGATTTAGAATATGAAGAATTTCATCTGTGCTTTCAAATTTCGATTGATTTGAATTTTGTCTGTGTACAGGTATACAATGAGACAATGCTGCGTGATTCTGGTTAGGAACTAACGTTAATGATAAGTAGGTTACTGCCATCATAAAAATGGAAAATGTGAACACAAATTTCCTTTTGCGGCATTGAACTGCACACTTAGTCCACAATGGTGCAAATATGAATGCCACCAGAGTTTTCAGGCTAATAATAATTCCGGTCTTGGTTGCTGTCAGACCCAAGAGTCTCAAGTACAGGGAGAAAAATGGAAACAAACAGGCTTTACTAGCTGCGAAAAAGAAGTTGTACAGATTACAGAAGAGGATTGCCCTGTTGAGGTTTACGGGTTCCGGATTATCCATGTTCATGGCTAAGAATTTGCTCCTTACACAGTATTGGATGTCTTCATTACTATATCCTCACCTGAAAAGAAGAAAGGCACAGTGGATTATGGAAAATAGAGAATATCTTATCCCTCAACCTGAAAAAAGGAATGATGACAAGCATATTATTACATCATATTATACAGAAAAGCTTTGATAAATAATTCAAATGATAAGAATAACATTATGATTTCCTCAGGCAATTAAACTCAAAAGCCCACAACACAAAATTAAATAATAAAAACTAAAAGTGATACAAGTATACATTTACCTGTACACAGTACAAAACCAGTGAAACGGGTTTAGATGTGTAAGGACACACTTTATAGTTTTGTGTACTATTCCGACAGGAACTTGTCCTGATGAGAAGCACATCTACCATTTTATACATTTGAAGCATGTACTGATACTATTCAATATTTGTTTGGGATTTTTGTTTTATTATTTCTGAGATTTGAGATTTTGTATGCATGAAGTTCTCAGGTCTCAGTATCACAGTTGTATGGATATCATTTGTGTGAAAAAAAGAAAGAACATCATGGAGTATGACTAGCCTGTCTCATGTCAAAGAGAACACATGTATATATATATATCATTTTACCCTAGTGAATACAAATTTAAATATAAAAGTGGAACAGGAATGGTCTTATCAAATTACTAATGATAAAGCATAAAGCCATTACAGTAAACCCTACCAAGTTTGAAATAAATTGGTTGAGAACTGAACGAGAAGATCTTTGAAGAAGATAGAAAAGCTAAAAAGAACAAAGGGTAATAACTCTTCCAAAACCTGACTGAAAGGAGCAATTCCACTATTATCCATATTGGGCCCTGCCCCTTGTCCAAGGGGGGTCATACCCACTCATTATATAAAAAATCAGTCTCCTTTTTAACCAACACCTTTCTTCTCCAGGTCAAGGATGCTTCTGACCAAATTTGGTCAAAAGCTGGTGTGTCATTTATGACAAGTAGCCACTGTAAAGATGTCAGATGGCAATTTATGTTGTATATAAAATCACCAATCATTTGGACAATGGCCAGGTGAGATAAAAATGGTTGAATCCGAATTATATTCAGGAAAACATACCTTTATGTCATAAAAATAATGCTTATATTAAGTCTAATAACTTTTGAAAGAGATGAGTTGAAACCCTGTGAGAAGATCCAATCTCAAGACAAATAAAAGTGTATGATTGACAGATGAACGCGTGTATGGATGGATAACAATGTACCATAATACAATACTATAGCTCCAGTACTATTACAAACTTTTTACTCATAATTTTTCCATAATCAATCTTGAATTTTGAATGCATTTCTACATTCATATGGAACAGATGTCATTATTTATTTTAATGTCCCTATTAGGTGTTGAAACAAAGACTTCTGGCAGACTAGATTATTCTCAACTGACCAATTGGGACATACTTAGTGCCAATCAGTTCATTAATCAAGATATTTTTTTATATTTTCCCATATCATACACTTTATACCAAGGTCTAGCAACATGTAAAAAATCCATCTGATTGACCAACTGAAAAGTATTGAAATAAACTGTTAACGCAGAGGAAACATAACTAACACTATACTGAACTACCAGAGGCATACCTAACTCTACAGGTAACGGATTAACTGATATACCTTAGGACATTGACTACAGGTAAATGATGATTACAGTTTAGGTGTCACCTGTCACTTTCAAGTAGGTATTTATACATGCTATATATTATAATGCATGTTAAAAGCTAGTTAGGAACTACATGTAATTTGAGTCGTCAATAAACACATTTGGAAAATTTTACAATATCAGCATAATTTTCATTTTACAAGAGCAGAAACTCTAGCGACACCTAGTATGATAAATCATGATAAATAAAAAAAAAATAAAAAAAATAAAAAATATATGATAAATCAAATGTCTAGGTATATACAACATATATGTCCATCTTTGTAAATAAAGTACGTTCATATTGGTACAATGTTCGATTTTGGGTAAGACAAGAGGGTGTACTCTCAGGATTTTTGTTCCTGACATTCATTAATGACTCCTACATTGACTAGAAGAGCTAAAGTGTGGCTGCCACAACGGATGTTGAACGTAGCAACAAAGTACGCATACGTTTGGAAATACCAATATAATAATAGCAAATGTTCCATTATAGTGTTCAATAGCAAACAAGGGAATATGTGTAACATGCCATGGACGCTGGGTGGTGAGATAATACCTTTAAAAGAGGTGCAAGAACACCTTGGGATCCCAATTGATTCAAGATTGCAGTCATCAGTCAAAATAGATAAAGGCTGTAGGAAAGGCAGGAATTTGTTACTTGTCATATCCGGAACAGGAAGCGATCTTATCAGCATCAATACTATTACTGTGGCAAAATTATACAGATGTATTATACTACCGAGCACATTATATGGATGCGAGCTATAGAATAATGTGTTAGTCGCTGACTGTACGAAAGTCAAGCAATGTAAAAAGGTACACTGAAACATTGAACGCAAATATTTTACTGGATACGAGCTTGTTCTGAATATAAGAGATAATGTAATTATACACGTTTGTATTTATACACATACAATTGTGACATATTTATATGTATACATGAACAACCTGTTCCTTAAAGATACAGTATAATAACAAAGTTTACAATTATATCGTAATTATACTCGGCAATGTACATTGTATGTTAACTATTACACTTCTTATTACCATTATATGTATGTATCTCAGAAATGAGGAAATAAAGAGATGATGATGATGACAAACAATTCCTTTGTTGATGACTGGTGTTTGGCAGAGGCAAAAACTCCAGGAAAACTATGGAGTATGTTTGGTAGTCTGGCAAACAGCAATCAATTACCATGAAAGATGGTATATATTATAAGGAAGTCAGAAAAACACTCTTATCACTATTACCAGAAGTCAGTCATCTTTCTGTTCTCAAAAGATACTATTCAAAACTCCAGAATGATAACAAGTATCAATAACATACACATAAAACACACAGACTTTCTAGTAAATGGTGCTTACCTGGGGAGGAGCATGCATGGCAATGCCAAGCACATGCAGCCATACAGACAGTGCTCTCCACAGTAAGAAACCTGCTCCAGTTTTGACAGAGGTCAATAAAATCAACCCTGAAAATCCTATTCATTAAGTACAAGGTCATTCATGCATTGCCAACAATGACAATATGTTATCTAAAAAAATATTTAAATGATGAAGAGGTATGCATTGAATAGCAGTGTGATAGGCATTGAAAGAACTTCAATCTTGCTGCATCTATTTTATAATAAATGTCTTTCAAAATTTGAATCTCAATCTCATTTCCTCTGACAGATAAGATCACAAGTTGGATACAATTTCCCAATGGAGGAATTTGTGTTCAGGACTGGTGAGGAAATAGCATTAGTAAATGCTACGTCTACATGTTTTCCATAGACTATGCCTATCCTTGTACAAGGCATTTGCAAAAGCATATCTCTGTGCAGAGAAAAATGCTCTTGTCAATAGACTGTTTCGAGGTTTGTTATCCACAGAGGACAGGGTATCTCTCAGAGAAAGACAACAGGAAGTCTTAGATGAGTATGGGGATGTAGGAAGTAAGTATCTTAACAGACAGGCTACCACCCATTCTTTCAACTAAAGTCAGTTTACTCACGGACTTACATTTAGTGTAAATGCATGTCTTAACAGTGTAACAGAGACCATATAACAGACTAATGAGTGTTGCCAGTTGCACATATAGAAACACTCGAGCTAACAGGCGTTTCCTATATTTGAGTTAGTTACATTTTGCGACATCAATATAAATAGAAATGATCGCAAAGACCAGTCAACACTATATTCTGATGACAATAAAACAGCAATGGAAGGGAGATAACTCGAAGAAAAATAAAAAAAATATATGAATGAGAGTAGGTCTGCATCTTGACCATAATAAATGCGTGCTCAACCTTAAACAAAAGTTAATGTTGTGCCTAAAAAATAAAAATTGATACACCCTGTAATAACTAAAAATTCTAAACTTCTCTATAAGTACATAGATATTTACCATGTTTACATATTTTCTACACCGCCATACGGACCGCCTGTCACTGCTCAAGTGTCGTAATCGTCAACGTGTCGCCCAGCTTGATGAAAACATATTTTGTCACGATTCTAACAAAGTTTTATGGTATATTTTTAAAAATCATATTTTGGTTAGTGATCTATAAAACATTTATCTTGAATTTAAATAATCTTATAAAAATGCAATGTTTTGCGACTTCTCTGTATGCCGTCGTGCCAGCGTGTAACGACAAACATGGCGTCTGCTAATATAAGTAACAACGTACACACTTCTCCAGGAATTGAAAATTCAGCCATGGAGATGGACAGGCAGACAGGACAAACAGAAGAAGTTAAATCAATGACTTCCAGAGCTTCACCGTTCCATCTTGCAACAGAATCATTTGGGGGACAAGAGCAACAAGCCTTTCAAGTACGTTGACATGAGCTAACCTGTCATATATAAATTTGATTAACTAAATAACCATGCTAACTGTTTCTTGTAGGTGTGGAGCATATATACGTCTCTGGACATAGTGAAAGGGAAAACATAAATAGTTTTCATGTAGTCTGATTGGAGGAGAAGATTGAAATCGAATAAAACCTTGTGAATAAGTAGAATGTTTCTTTCAGAGCTGAATAAAATGATGTACATGTTGATTATTGAATTAAATTCAGTTGATACTATAGCTGTTAACATCTTTTAATTTATTAGATCATATTGATAAAAATCAAGATATTTACTTTACTGATAATATTAACTATAAAGTACGAAGATCCTTAACTACACTACTGCTAATGTTGTGTGATTGTCAAGCGTTGAGATAGCATGAAATCAAGTAGTGTGGTGCCTCCAGTTGGGATAAAACATCCTATTGCTTGTCACTGTACTGATTGATCTAAAAAGAAATTTTCTTTAATGCAAAGCTAGTAGATGACTACATTTCTTTATGCAGTTAAAACTAAAAAATATTACTCACTGAGAGACAGTCTATATACCAAGAAAGAAAGGTAAACATATTTTTATGACAAGAAAATTGCTGGTTATATAACAGAATTCATGGGGGGTTACAAAAATCATTCAACCACGAGTGTCTGTATTAACAGAAGAAATTTTCTGTGACTAATTTATATCATCATGTCCCACAAATACAGAGGGAAAGGATTGTAGGCATGATCTAGGCAGGAAAGTGGCACAGGATTTTGAGTTCAATGTTAAAACAATCTTAAATCAATCTGGATCAACATCTGGTTATTCTTGAAGTGGCCCATCCGTTATACAACTCTTAGTTGCAGTGCCATCGTAATCAATGCCTCAACTGGAACAATTGTCTGTTCCTGAAATTCTGATTTTGTCTGCAACATGGTGATGGAAAGTGCAGAGGGTAGAGGCAACAAGATGAGAATTTGGCAAACTGCTGCATTGCAGAATTGGACTGCAGTGGTGCCAAAAGTATAATGGATTGTATTAGTAGGGGGAATAGTATCAGACTTCATTTGATAAATGCCAATTTAACTGGCATTCAAAATTGGGATGGAATGTTAAGACCAGTGATGCTACCATTCCTAAGACACTATTTTCCAATAAAATAACATGCCAGCACTCACTAGTTGTGTCAACAGAACTTAATTTCCTTCAGCAAAATAACGTGTAGTATAATATTTGCCATTAAATTCACCTCATTTGTCACCAGTTGAACAATGTTTGGAATGTCACAGGCAAGACATCAGAGAACATAAAATAAACCACCAAACATTCAAGAACTTGTCCAAGCCTTGAACAATAAATGAAACAACATCTCTTCTCAAATTATCTGCTGGAGTTTTCTGTGACAGTGATTCTGTGATTTATGATGTGTTTTGCCACAATATGCTTGTTCATGGTCTAAACAGGGTTGGGATTTTAAATTCAAAGCAATTATATATTTGGATCAGTTAATCTGATCAGCTAAAATTCTCACAAAATTGGTCAAGACTTTTCCTGTTTGGGATTAAAAATACAAATCAAATCTGTGGATTCCTGATGTATCATCTTGCACCAGGAAAGTGAGAGTCAAGACTGAATGAATATTACTGTATACCTGGTAGTTTTTAAAGGTTAAAAAAAATCACAATTTTCTTTTAACAGTTGAATGACATTTTCCATGAAATATGATCCTTGTGAAAGGCCTATCCAGTAATATACTTTTATATTCTGAAACACACATCATAAAAAACATAACCAGTACTTACTTTTGGAAACTATCAAGCATAAAGTTGCTAATACATCTTCTGCAAGTCTGAAAATCTCTTCGTCGAATTGCAAGTGCAAATATTCATGTATATTGTTTATCGACAGTGTTTTCTTATACCAATAGTCAGTTGTAAAGATCTGTTTACTTAAGTGCCTATACACAAGTTTTTTAATTGTTGTTGTTTACTGTTAAATTTTGTATTCCTGTTTATCTATATTCAAAATTCTTAACTGAAATTTAATGGATGCTTAAACTATAGCGTAGACCTGGCCTGCCCTGTGCTCAAGCACTAGTGATCAACCTACAAGTTAGGGTCTGCAACAATATTATTCCTAAATCCCACTGGCCCACTCACAATGGATATTAGATTTTGTAACAACAGATTTTGTATTTGTTTTCCCTCAACAGATGTTCATGGACCCAATGATGAAGGAACTTGAGGAACATGTTGCCAAAAACTCAGAACTTCTGGATAAACTGAATGAGTATGTATGACTATATAGATATATCTATTACAATATAACTGTATGTATGAAATGGACTGGTCCTAACATATATATATCTAGTATATAACTATATGTATGAAATGGACTGGTCCTAACATATAGGTATATCTAGTACAATATAACTATATGTATGAAATGGACTGGTCCTAACATATAGGTATATCTAGTACAATATAACTATATGTATGAAATGGACTGGTCCTAACATATAGGTATATCTAGTACAATATAACTATATGTATAAAATGGACTGGTCCTAACATATAGGTATATCTAGTACAATATAACTATATGTATGAAATGGACTGGTCCTAACATATAGGTATATCTAGTACAATATGACTATATGTATGAAATGGACTGGTCCTAACATATAGGTATATCTAGAACAATATAACTATATGTATGAAATGGACTGGTCCTAACATATAGGTATATCTAGAACAATATAACTATATGTATGAAATGGACTGGTCCTAACATATAGGTATATCTAGAACAATATGACTATATGTATGAAATGGACTGGTCCTATCAACTATGTGTACATATATAAACATGCAGTCTCATCTATGATTTGTTGTATCATCTTTTACTGTTCAAAATTAATTTTCACATGGTTGGTTTTGTATATTAATTAAAAGTGGAAAAATTCCATGTTCACATTATCAACAATTATTTAGGTTGAAAAATTAAAAACTTAGATGTGATTACATTGTCTTCCTTTCATGATACAATGTAGGATATTGAAATTGTCATATATTTATAACCAAAATTAATACAAAATAAGATCTAAAGTTTGTGTTAAATGTTGTCTTTCCAGGCAAATGGAAACTGAAAGGAAAGCAAGAATCAAAGCCAGAGCCACAGCACACATACCAGAAGCTCTTAAGGGAGAGTAAGTATATAGGTTTAGGAATGGATTTAGATGTACACAATACTTAGTTTTAATTACATTCCATGCTTGTTAATGTTTGGTTCTGCTTTGATTACGTCCCCTGTTTGTTAATGTCTGCTTTGTGTACTAGGGGACAAGGAATGGCAACTGTGATGAGATCTATAGAAAATTTAATGGTGTTTGGAGAGAAAGATGTAGAGTTTGAAGAGGAAGAACAAGAAGAAACTGTGGAAGGAGAAAACAAGACTGGTACAGAGGCTGATCATGGTGATACTAATGACGAAGAACAAGGACCTAAAGATGGAGATGAAGAAGAAGAAGAAGAAGATGGTGATGATGATGATGGTGATGATGATGATGAAGATGATGATGATGATGAGGGAGATGAAAGCTTTGCTGAAGAAAAGAGAAGGTAAACTCTCAGAATTTATGACTTTGTTGTTAAAATTAACATTAAAGATATTTTCACTTTTATTTGCACTTGGTGATTTTGATTATGTAAGTATGCTTTTTTTCATTTCAGACATCGTACTCTGTTGCCAGCTTTAGATGAACATGGTAGAGCAGCCATTTTGGCCCACAGTTTGGCCAGCTATGCTTCTATGCTTAATGAGGAAAATCTGAAGAAGTTCACAGAGAAGATCACATCAGACTGTAACCTCTGGCTATCTAGGTTGTTTAGGTAAGGAGTTAACTAAACTGATACCGGCATTCTCCAAGTATAGACACAAACACAATGCATTTAAATGTATTGAAAATGTTCAGCAGTATAATGAAACTAAGCAAATATTACAGACATGGAAAGATTGAAGGGAAACTTGAAGAACCAGAGGTTGATAATGATCAGGATTATATCAATGATAGGGAGTCAAGGCCTGTAATGATTTTTAAAATCAAGTTAATATAAAAGCATTAGGTCTACATCATAAGCCCAGTAGATACTATGTATGTTGATAAAATGACTTGGTTTTTCATTTGCAACTTATCATGGATTTCAATCTTTTTATTTTCACTGGATCTCTTATTTTACTTGATTACTTAAAATTATTCAAGGTTTATGGATGCATCAGCTGTTTTCTGTGAGGATGAACGTGATGGGCTGGTTAAGATTTGCCGTCTTGCTTTATATCAGAAGTACCCAAAATATGCTGCAGAAGGCTTTGAGGCTCTATATTCACGGCCTCCTGTCATCTATGTTAGTGCTGCTGCTAGTCCTGATCTCAGTACCTACCTCTGTCTACAGGTAAAATCTTTGTTTATATATAAACGACTTCTATTTGAAAGAAACGCCTTGTCTTTGTCTACAGGCAAATCCTGTCATTTGACATGCAAATTTCCTCTATCGAAATTGATGTCTGTTTTAAGGTAAATCTCTATGTAAATGTAAATTGTTGTTTGTCTGCAGTTTGTTTGTCTGCAGTTCAATCTTCTCTGTTTAATGATGAATTGTTGTTTGTCTGCAGTTCAATCTTCTCTGTTTAATGATGAATTGTTACATCTATCTTCAGATAAATTGTCAATGATATATACTAGGTAAATATCCTTCAGTAAAATTTTGTAAATTTAAATGATTTTGCACCTGTAAGACAACTCTGCCGAGGGTGAAGTTACAAGATATGGTATCACTGAGATATTTTTGAATAATTATGATTAAACTTACAAACTTAAGATGCATTTAGTCACATACATGGCGTCGTTTGTCAGCTCTCTTCTTAATCCATTTTTTGATTGATAAATAAATTAAAACAAGTGTGTGAATATGTTGAAAAAAATTAGATTTGCAGGGATCAAGTTCAATGTAACCAGAATGTGTACTTTTAGAGAAGTGTCAATCTTTTATTGATTAAATTATTAATGAATATCATTCCTTGTTCAATTGAATTATTTTGCTTGTGTCAAGGGCACCTTTTGGGGTTTTTCTTCTGGGAGACATTTTTTGATTGATAGTGATATTTATGCATAGATTTGCTTCCTGATCAGTCAAGTGTTCAAAATATTACCATGAATCCATCACACATAAAGGCAAAATAATATTGCTTTTACTTTTAATGCCAGCCCAGTCATTGTCAGCATTCTGATGTTATTTCTTAAATTTGCTGGCCCAAAATCAAGACTATCGTAATTTCCAGGTTACAAGCCGCAGCTTATATACTGATGCAGCTTACATGTGGACAAAAAACCCGGCAGAATGAAAAAAAAAAAATGAAGAATATCATTTGGACATTGGTTCAGAACCAATATATATTTCGGAACGATCACTTTGTCGAGGCATATCACATGCACTATTGACCTTTGTGACCTCATGCCCTGATAATTTTGGTTGCTGTAACATGTCACATTTCCAGAAAGAATAAAGAATAGTGATTTATGTCAATTATACCAGCACACTAGTATGAAACATTGGTACCAATTTTTTTACCTGTCCATCACTTGTTTGAGACTAAAACAGATTGTCTAAAATGTTACTATTTACCTAAACCTCTAATCCTGATTTGTATAACTTCCTTGCCACTTCAGCTGAGGTCAACAGTAACTTGGTAATGAGACTGATGTTGTAGTATTACTTGTTATTGGTGTTATTGTGTTTGTTACAGCTAGGACTTCCGATGTCCAGTATAAGCACTGTACCATGTGAATCGGGAGCTAACCCAAGCCACAAAATGGTAAGTAACACATTTACTTTTAACAAAACATGGCTTTAAATCCATGCTTTGTCATTATTATGGGATCAATGCTGACTTTAATCTTTAATACTGTGTTTCAGAAGCTTTTGTATAAGTATTTATTTACCCACGAAGAACTTCTAAGTTTATTTGTTCTAATAAGTTTGAGTTTATACTTTATCAATGACCTCTATATCAATAATATAAAATTACTCCATGTTTGTTGTGATATTTTGTTATGATAGGTGTAAGAATGTATTGATTTATTTGCACTGTTCTGTCACAAGGATTTATCAATGTTGGAGAAGCTGATTCAGGATGACATAGCAGCAGCCAAAACTCCAGCCATGCTTGTGGCATACGCAGGTTTGTTTCACATTGTCTGTGCTTAGCTAAGGAAATCTGAAGTACTAGGAAAGATAATTAATTCTTGGACACTTTAATGCTTATACCTGTAATGATACCATCAAGGTCTTGGGAGATTGTATTTGGCTACTTTTGAAGAAACTATATTGTGTACATGGTATCATATAAACACCTCTACACATTAATTTCATAATTATTTAAAGAAAGATAGTAATAGAATCAACTTTGACTACACTTAATTAAAATTTGGTGATCATCAGTCAATGTGAAAGGGTCAAAGGTCATGCTTGACAACTTTTGGAATAAAAGCTTATAATTTATAAATGACATCTCTGAACAGATTCATTTTTTTTTATCCTGGACTTTGATTCCTGATTACATTTAGGGGGTCATTGGTCAAGGTTAAATGGTTAAAGGTCACATTTGACAACTTTTGTAATAAAAAGTTTATAATATGAAAATTACATCTCCCTTCAGCAGATTGAGTCTGTTAATCTTGGACTGATTACATTTTGGGGGTAACCAGTCAAGGTTTAAGTAACAGTTAACACTAGACCACTATGAAGTCACACATATAAATGTTATTTGATCTTTCATTTTCTTTTTATCCCATATTTAAGGAACACCACTTACAGGTCATGTTGATGATGTGGACAGATTACAAGACATTTGTAGGAAGAATTCTATCTGGCTTCATGTTGAAGGGTGAGAGCTTAGTATTGTAGTTGGGTAGATGTGACCACACACACGATTTCAGTTGTATTTGTGTGTTGTAGATGCAGCCTATTGGTGTCACACACATTGACAGTGGTACTTGTGTGCTGTAGACACAGCCCATTGATGCCACACACAGTGCCAGTGGTATTTGTGTATTGTAGATGCAGCCCATTGATGCCACACACATTGACAGTGGTATATGTGTGCTGTAGATGCAGCCCATTGATGCCACACACAGTGCCAGTGGTATTTGTGTTCTGTAGATGCAGCCCATTGATGCCACACACATTGACAGTGGTATATGTGTGCTGTAGATGCAGCCCATTGATGCCACACACATTGATAGTGGTATATGTGTGCTGTAGATGCAGCCCATTGATGCCACATACAGTGCCAGTGGTACTTGTATGTTGTAGATATGTCTGATAAGATAACACACAAACCATTTATGGTATTTACATCAGTAGACGAGGCCCATTGATGCCACACATAGTTTTGAGGGTATTTATGCGTCAGTAGATGAGGCCCATTGATGCCACACACGCATAGTTTTGATTGTATTTACGTCAATAGACAAGGCCCATCGATGCCACTCATAATTTTGGTGGTATTTATGTCAGTAGACGAGGCCCATCGATGCTACACATAATTTTGGTGGTATTTATGTCAGTAGACGAGGCCCATCGATGCCACTCATAATTTTGGTGGTATTTATGTCAGTAGATGAGGCCCATCGATGCCACTCATAATTTTGGTGGTATTTATGTCAGTAGACAAGGCCCATCGATGCCACACATTATTTTGGTGGTATTTATGTCAGTAGTCGAAGTCCATTGATGCCACTCATGATATTGGTGGTATTTATGTCAGTAGACGAGGCCCATCGATGCCACACATAATTTTGGTGGTATTTATGTCAGTAGATGAGGCCCATTGATGTTGGTAGACATGGTTTTTGGATACCACTAGAGCTGGAACAATTGTGATGGAATTTAGATGTGAAACTTCCAACATAATGTTTTCCTTTTCAAAAGTTAGATAAAACAATGTTAATTACTGAGATAATTAGGATCTAGCATAGTACATTTACATATACCTTATTGATGGCATTACCGTCCAACTATTCATATACAATTCATTTATTTAAGTATTCGAATACCAGAATCTGTTTTTTTGCTTCAGCTCTAGATACAACAAATTCTTAAGTGGTATTTGTATGTTGGCAGACAATGGTCATTGATGCCACAGACACCTCCATTGATATCTGTGTCGGTAGATGTAGCCTACAGATGCCATACACACCTTCATTGGTATTTGTGCCATCAGTACACATTGCCCATTGATGCCATACATAACTTCAATCATGAGTCGTTTCATCAGTAGCTAAATATTTCAATATGTAGATAATGGTTTACAAAGTGTTACTATGAAAATAATTTTCTAGTAGTTGTGTTGTACATCATTGCTATGTAGTGTTGTAGTAGTTAATTGAAATTTGATGATACCACCTGATGTATGATCTAACATGAATAGTGTTTTTTTCCAGAAACAACCTTGCCACGCTGACACTGGTGTCAGTACCAACTTCGATACTGTCCTGTAAAGCTGGTGACAGTATGACAGTCTCTTTGGGCAAGTGGTTAGGAATTCCAGGTCTTCCTCATGCTGTATCCTTCTTTCTAAAAACCTGCAGTTTCCCCTACAGGATCCTGACAGTATTTGCAAAAATCTTCAAAATTTAGGGTTGTCATCATAACCTTGTTGCTCATTATCCCCCACGAAACATGTTTGCCAGGGATATTAATTTGGACCATGTGTGTGCCCCCAGACTATAACTTCAAAACTGTTCAACTCCACTTAACAAAACTTGTATCACTCCAGAGCTTATAGAGTGTTGCATAAATCTGTTAATGGACAATATCAAGCTGTATTCAAATATCAACAGTCAAACACACAGGAGCTACATCAAGATATAAACTCTTACTATGAGGTTGATATATAAGATATATATGTAATGTTGAAGTTGAGGAGACGCAAGGAAATTTAGTTGATAATTGACAAAAGAAGATGTTATATTTGCACTAGCACTTTCACTATATTAGATCTACAGGTGATAGTAGCAGTACATAAGTGAGTGACATCACAGATTGTGAAATTGTTGTACCTGTGTATCAATATTTTGGTTTTACACAAACAGCTTGGTGCAGGGGATAATACCACACCTTGTAGCTCCTTATTTTTCTTGTGATATGGGTCATTTTTATGTAGATTAACTGAAACAACATTCAAGCTATGTTATGTAAGGCAGGAGAGACTTAATTTACAACTCTGTTTCAAACAAGTAAATGATGTGTTAAAACACATCACTATGATAGATGTGATTAATTTGACTGAAACTCACCTTTTGGAGACTTATCAAATGCCTCGTCATAACTGCCACACTTAAAGCTTTTTTAAAGTTATTTTTATGCCTGATGGACATAACCTTGACCTGACTTCTAGACTCTGTACAAATCATCAGACCCAGCCCTGGTGCATGCTGCTGGGCTCAACACCTTTAACCCACAGATCAAGCTTAACTGTCTGCCAATCTGGATCTGTCTACAGAGCCTAGGTCATGATGGCATTGTGAACCGTGTCAAACAGTCATGTGATTTGGTGAGTTTACACTTGCAAAAGTTTTATTGGAGGGAAATCAGCAGGACCCCCTACTACCTACTTTGAAATTCCATTTATTTCAACAGATGTAATAATTGACTGATTAGAATATAACTAGAGTATGATGTTGATCCATAAATCATTTTGTTAACAGTAAGTTCTATTTACAATTTCAAGTTAAGTAAGACCAGGACGTAGTTGTAATCATCGAAATAATCAATATCTGTAGTGCAAAGGGAGATCTTGTGTCAGAATCAATATATTGTCAATCTCAAAAAGAGAACTGTATGAGATTAAATGTTGTCGAGGAAGGAAGAAGCTATGATTAAGATTTAACCTTTTAATCCATTAAATATGGAATTTTCATAGTAGAAACTGTACTGTTTTTTATAGGCAGAATACCTGAACTCAGAACTGGAGAAGCTGAAGGCTATTAAACAGGTGGTAAGTATACTAATATCAATGTTATTGTAGTGTCCACTATATACAGGTGGTAAGTATACTAATATCAATGTTATTGTAGTGTCCACTATATACAGGTGGTAGGTATTCAAATATCAATGTTATTGTAGTGTCCACTATATACAGGTGGTAGGTATTCAAATATCAATGTTATTTTAGGGTCCACTATATACAGGTGGTCAGTATACAAATATCAATGTTATTGTAGTGTCCACTATATACAGGTGGTAGGTATACTAATTTCAATGTCGTTTTAGTGTCCACATTAAGTTAGGTTGTTGAGGCTTTTCAGAAAAAAGAAATTGTGTGTATAAAGCCACTAAAGAGAAAGGAGACATTTCATATCATATGATACAATCAAATGGGAAGTCCAGTGTTTAGTCACTTTATTGTCAGAGAAAGTAGGTAGTAAAGGTTGTAAAATTTTTGTGGTGTCTTACAGTAAAAAGCTGTGAAATGGGTTTTCTTAATCAATATTGTTCTCTTGATCTCTTTTTTTTATGTGATTTTATCCATTTTCATCATAAATATCACCCCTCCAAAATAACAATGCAGGCAGTACTGATGTTTTATGTTAACTATATTTACTTAGAAAAAGCTTATTGATGTTACAGACAAAAGAAAAGAAGGAAGATGATACTCCTGCCAATACCATACGAGGAATGATCACACGCGCCATTAATGCTTTGGTAAGTTTGATAGAGGACTTTATCAATACAAGAAAGATGGTTGCTTGTCCAGCCTCATATTGTTACAAATGTGACGGATTTTTATGGGAAACTTCATTATCAAAGTGTTGTAAGTAGCTTAACATTAAGGTTTGTTTTGCTTAAGTGTTTAAAAGTAGTTTTTTTCAACTTAACAGATTGAAATTAAGGAGTTGTCAGATAAGATACATTACTACAAGCCTTCTTTGTTATAGATCAGAATAATGAGACAGTATTATAGAAAGTCTTTAAGCATTTTGGTTTTCATTTTCCAGCTTGTGTTTGAAATGGTATCACCAACCGTAGTATTTAGATACATTGAAGACAAGGAGGAAGGTAAGCTGATTCTCAAAATGATGAGATAAAAATGGCATCAGCTGGATTCTGAAAAAAATTATAAATCTTTTATTTTTACCCTAATTACATCAACACTATAACTTATCTACTATCAGAATTAGTTATGAAGTACAGAGTTGTGGGTCAGCCTTTTAAATTGTAAAGTGTGTTGTAGGTCTACAAATTGCTCCCTACTCCTCCACATCACTGACCACAGATGAGAACACACAGGACGAAACCAACTCCTTAATGTATTTTGATGCCCTCAATGTGTGGGTAAGTGTAGGTTTGAATGTGTGGGTAAGTGTAGGTTTGAATGTGTGGGTAAGTGTAAGTTTGAATGTGTGGGTAAGTGTAGGTTTGAATGTGTGGTAATATCAGTATGTTTTGCCATATTTTATGACATGGAATGGTATGTCAATATTGCATTACTAGATCAGACATTGAAATTCAAAATCACTTTAGGGTCAAGCCTGTAATGGAATGTGATATAAACTTGTTATTGAAATTTTCATTAAAACTCTCTAACAGTTATTTGATATATTTAATATTTTATTAATATTTCATATGTTATATCTATGTTTTGAAAGTATAAACTTGTAGTTACCAAAACATTAATCAATATACACCTTGAAATTATATTGCATTTTTCCAATTAATCTTTTTTTAATGACATTAGATACTTTCTCTCTACAAATATCGCGACATGCAAGGTGTCAAAAATGTTGTTTAAATACTTTTTTTCCACATATGAAGAAAAAAGTTGGAAAGTATGAAGTGAAATAACAATGTGAAATAGATTTAACAACAATTCAGTATTGAATGAATACATAGCATCACTCTGTATATGAAAACATGGCTGGTTTGCAGCTAGGGGAGACCCTGCAGGCAGAAAATCCTGGTGTTGATCTGCGTGTGGCAGAGGTGGAAAATGAAGGTGTATGTATTCGGTTTTCTCCCTTGGACAGTGCTCAGGGTATGTACACCACCTCTTCTTACCATACAACACTTGATTTGATGCTCAGCTAATGCATCTTTTAATGTTTCAAATTGTCAGATTGAAACAAAATATTCTGGTCTTCAATGATTGTTAAGATGTCATTGACAGAGCTGTAAAGATAGATATTGTTGAATTATAACATCAAATACTTGGCTGTGGTACATGTAATTTAAACATATGATTATGGGTTTTTGCTTCTTTTTTTTTCCTTAAGAAATAATTAATAATTTAACATTTTGACTGTTCTTTTGTTGGGTTCTGTATCTGATAACTGTCTCTTTCAGCAAGAGGAACAGCTGCTGAAGACATGGAGGCACTTCTTGAATGTCTTAAGAAACAAATCGTAAGATGCTTCACAGTTTTGATATCATATGTGATATAGACACCCTTGCTCAGATTATGAAATGTTTTTTTATAAATGGCAATAGAATGCATGATATATAATACAACAAGTACTTCTTTGTTAGCTGATCTTTTGCGGCGTATACGGGTAATTTTCATTGTATTGACTTAATAAACATATCCTGTAGGCTATTCCTCATCAAGCAGTGGATTATCTTGAATGTGATTTATTGTATGCCTCCTTCTACACAGAATATGGCCTTAGACATCAAAGGGCACAATCCTTTATATACATAAGGATTTAAAATGCATGATCAAAAAGTGCAGTTTGCTAATATTTCTTATATTTTTTTCCATTTTGTTTTTGTTTTTGTGTTTTTTAAAACTTTATTTATGGAATATATCTGAATGCAACAAAATTACTAATCTTCAGATATCAACCCTCTAAATTTGTTTCCAGGCCATTTTGGATTCCACTGTTTTGAATCGTGACAAGTTGAAAACCTTGATTTCTAGAGAACCTAGACTGAGATTACTGGATATGCCATGCTGGGCAGGTCTAGGAGTTGTACAGTAAGTATTAGTTACTGGTGAGTAACTAGACAGGTCTAGGAGTTGTACAGTAAGTATTAGTTACAGGTGAGTAACTAGGCAGGTCTAGGACTTGTACAGTAAGTATCAGATACCGGTGACTAACTAGGCAGGTCTAGGAGTTGTACAGTAAGTATGCAACTTTGCAATTGACTGTCCTTAATCGGATTCTAGATTCTGAAAATGATGATTTAAAGTATTTCTGCATGAAAATATACTGTGTGGACTCTTTTGTGTTTAGATATTTGCCAGAATCCTGGCAGAACAAAGGAGATGACTTACCAGAGGAAAGCCTCAAGGAAATCCATGTTGTCAATACAGAACTTGTACAGAGACTCAAGTCACAGGACACAGCATTTTCCTTGGGTAAGTTGTCTCATATCTAGTTAGATGGATATCATTTCTAAGTGATCTCATTAACTGTTGGATGGACTGTCCTAGTTAAATCACAGTGACCTCATTTACTGTTGGATGGACCTCATTTATTGTCGGATGGACTGTCCTAGTTAAATCACAGTGACCTCATTTACTGTTGGATGGACTGTCCTAGTTAAATCACAGTGACCTCATTTACTGTTGGATGGACTGTCCTAGTTAAATCACAGTGACCTCATTTACTGTTGGATGGACTGTCCTAGTTAAATCACAGTGACCTCATTTACTGTCGGATGGACTGTCCTAGTTAAATCACAGTGACCTCATTTATTGTTGGATGGACTGTCCTAGTTAAATCACAGTGACCTCATTTACTGTCGGATGGACTGTCCTAGTTAAATCACAGTGACCTCATTTATTGTCCTAGTTAAATCACAGTGACCTCATTTATTGTTGGATGGACTGTCCTAGTTAAATCACAGTGACCTCATTTATTGTTGGATGGACTGTCCTAGTTAAATCACAGTGACCTCATTTATTGTCAGATGGACTGTCCTAGTTAAATCACAGTGATCTCATTTACTGTTGGATGGACTGTCCTAGTTAAATCACAGTGATCTCATTTACTGTTGGATGGACTGTCCTAGTTAAATCACAGTGACCTCATTTATTGTTGGATGGACTGTCCTAGTTAAATCACAGTGATCTCATTTATTGTCGGATGGACTGGTCATGGGGGGGGTCAAATGTGTTATTCTTCTCAATAACCAAGATGTCCGGGTACATTTATTGACATTGGACCTGTAGTAGGCTAAGATAAAGTTTGTTCAAATCAATGACTTGACCCACTTTCAATGTCACATGAGTCAAATTCATGGAAATCTTCAAACAACTTCTCTCATTAAGTGAAAGGCTGAGGATTTTTGTATTTGGCTTGTAGCACGAATTTCCATGTTTATTCAAATGTACATGAAGGACTTTGGCCCACGTTCAAGGCCACATCGTCAGATGTGTTGAAAACTTAAATTACTTTTCTTCTCAGTAAGCAAAAGGTAATTGTATTAGTAACATGTCAGGATGAAAGGCTACCAAGATTTGCTCAAGATAATGACTTTGATCCACTTTCAAGGTCACAGGAGTCAATGGTATTAAATGCCATCTTCTCAATAACCAAAAAATCCAGAGTCATGTTATTTGTCCTGTAGCATGCTTAGGCATGAGAGGCAGCCAAGTTTGTTCTGTAGCATGCTTAGGCATGAGAGGCAGCCAAGTTTGTTCTGTAGCATGCTTAGGCATGAGAGGCAGCCAAGTTTGTTCTGTAGCATGCTTAGGCATGAGAGGCAGCCAAGTTTGTTCTGTAGCATGCTTAGGCATGAGAGGCAGCCAAGTTTGTTCTGATGCATAACATTGACTCTCTTTCATGGTTACACCTCGGTTGTGTTAAAAACTTTTCAGTAATATTTAAATAGCCCTGGGTCAAAGTATTTGTGTAGTAGCCTGCTTTGGGAATAGGCTCTCATGAAATTAACTGAAATGGCAGTCTTTGTTAAGATATAGATGAAGTGAGAGATTCAAACCTATTGGGTGTCTTGTTACATTTTGTGTTAGATTTAATGTGATGGAATTTTTGTTTTTCCAGTTATGCAATGCCACCTTACTACTGTCCACATTTATTTCAGGTTTCACAGACAATGATATTGCTTGTGTGAAATTTGGACTGATCACAGAAGACACTTCTATAGAGTCTCTCTTAGAACTAGTGTGTGTTACTGGCAAGGAAGTGGAAGACTCCTCAAAGGTCAGTTGTAAACATAGCCCACTCTAATGTCAGTTGTAAACATAGCCCACTCTAATGTCAGTTGTAAACATAGCCCACTCTAATGTCAGTTGTAAACATAGCCCACTCTAATGTCAGTTGTAAACATAGCCCACTCTAATGTCAGTTGTAAACATAGCCCACTCTAATGTCAGTTGTAAACATAGCCCACTCTAATGTCAGTTGTAAACATAGCCCACTCTAATGTCAGTTGTAAACATAGCCCACTCTAATGTCAGTTGTAAACATAGACCACTCTAACGTCATTTGTAAACATAGCCCACTCTAATGTCAGTCCTAAATATAGACTCTAAATTCAATCAAAAGACAGACCATTTTAAATTCAGTTGTAAAGACAGACCATACTACAGTCAATTGTTAAGATAGACTATATATTCTACAGTCAGTTGTAAAGACAGACTATATATTCTACAGTTAGTTGTAAAGACAGACTATTCTACAGATAGTTGTAAAGACAGACTATTCTACAGTCAGTTGTAAAGACAGACTATATATTCTACAGTCAGTTGTAAAGACAGACTATATATTCTACAGTCAGTTGTAAAGATAGACTATATATTCTACAGTCAGTTGTAAAGACAGACTATATATTCTACAGTCAGTTGTAAAGACAGACTATATATTCTACAGTCAGTTGTAAAGACAGACTATATATTCTACAGTCAGTTGTAAAGACAGACTATATATTCTACAGTCAGTCGTAAAGACAGACTATATATTCTAGTCAGTTGTAAAGACAGACTATATATTCTACAGTCAGTTGTAAAGACAGACTATATATTCTACAGTCAGTTGTAAAGACAGACTATATATTCTACAGATAGTTGTAAAGATAGACTATATATTCTAGTCAGTTGTAAAGACAGACTATATATTCTACAGTCAGTCGTAAAGACAGACTATATATTCTAGTCAGTTGTAAAGACAGACTATATATTCTAGTCAGTTGTAAAGACAGACTATATATTCTACAGTCAGTCGTAAAGACAGACTATATATTCTAGTCAGTTGTAAAGACAGACTATATATTCTAGTCAGTTGTAAAGACAGACTATATATTCTACAGTCAGTTGTAAAGACAGACTATATATTCTACAGTCAGTTGTAAAGACAGACTATATTCTAGTCAGTTGTAAAGACAGACTATATATTCTACAGTCAGTCGTAAAGACAGACTATATATTCTACAGTCAGTTGTATAGACAGACTATTCTACAGTCTGTTGTAAAGACAGACTATATATTCTACAGTCAGTTGTAAAGACAGACTAAATATTCTAGTCAGTTGTAAAGACAGACTATATATTCTACAGTCAGTTGTAAAGACAGACTATATATTCTACAGTCAGTTGTAAAGACAGACTATATATTCTACAGTCAGTTGTAAGGACAGACTATATATTCTACAGTCAGTTGTAAAGACAGACTATTCTACAGTCTGTTGTAAAGACAGACTAAATTCACTCAGATAGGCTACTGCCCTAAAGCTAGATCACTGTATGACACGTAAGCTTGTCATTTCCTTGTTGTGGAAATCAAAGCTAGATTATAAAGTGTCTAAACTTTGATGCAATTGAAAGATAACAGCAGGTATGTGATGCAAAAATGGAAGACAGTTTTATCACTGATATGAAGAGGAGCGTGCTCTATGTAATATATTAGTTAGATTTGATAGATTGTCATTAGGTTGCATTTGTTTAAATGGGGATATGTTTTGTGTCTATTTTGTAGTACCTTGAAACTCTGGCAGAGGTTGTGAAACAAGGAATTGAAGCTGCTAACCAGGATCTTGAAAAGGAAAATCTAACTAAACTTCAAAATGAGGTAAAACTTATTTATTATTACAGGTTCCTGTTCTTGTTACAATGTATTTCTTATGTTATGAGTGAGACAAGTATAGCAATATTTCAAGCAGATATCATCTGACTTTATATCAGAAATATGTACTTGAAAACAGTAGAGATAACAAATAGATCATTTGTAATAATGTTATTGTATTATAGGGTGTTCTTCGACATGTACCACTAGTTGGCTCCCTGCTCAATTGGTGGTCACCTCCTCCCAAAGACAGTATTAAAGGACGCTCTTTCAACCTGGCCTCAGGTATTTATCATAGCTGTTGTATATAAAGAATTTCTTGTGTAAGCTTCCATAACATTAAATGTACCTATCAAACAGTTCCTGTAGTACCTATCAAACAGTTCCTGTAGTACCCATCAAACAGTTCCTGTAAGGGACAAACTGGATACAGTCTGTTTGTTTACATGCAAAATCTATTCCATAAAGTGGGTGAGGAAAGGAAGTGTATGTTTCACTGAAACCAGACAAAGTCTGATAAAGTACACTGACTATATGAGAGTAGAAATACATTGATGAGAAACCATTGATGATGTATTGATTCCTTGTATTTTTTTGCTGCCTCAGGACAAATATCTAGCACAGAATCCCTGTATAAATACCATATGCAAATCCAAGAGGACAATTCATCCAAAACTGCTAAAATTTCCCCTGAACAACAGCCTACCACTCCTCCAGTCAGTCCAACACAGAGGTCAGCGGGGGAGGTGAAAGCCAATCTGACTAATGAGGTAAGTCAGCCATTCTCATTTTACCTGGTTGATTTCTCTTTGTGGTTTTTCTGTCCTACAAGAACTGGAATCACTGGACAGGTTTTATTGAGTCTCTTCCTGTATATACATATACACGAGTGTCTAGAGAAAAGATATGACTTGTGATAATTAATGTTTTATTATTATCCCAGGAGACATTTTTGTGGGAATAATAAATTGGGCTCCGTGTGTCTTTGCATAGACATTTTCCAGACCAGACCTTTGAAACTGTTCACGATAACTACTCAAAACTTTGCACATTTATTAAGCTAGCACACTAGTAGTTAGTGTCTTTTGCTATACAGAACTTCTTGAACAGAACTCTGAAACTGTTCACGAAAACTACTCAGGACTTTGAACATTTATCAAGTTAATAGTGCCTTTTGTGGTGGAACAGTTCTCCATTTAAATACTTTGTAACCATCATCCTCTTGATAGACTTATCTTTTTCTATACACCTTCATCATTACAGGTGCAGGGTGCTGGAGTGAGTCAACCTGTGTTCTCAGGGATAGACGTTCCAGACTCAGGAACTGCCATTACTGTAGAGGAGGCAGAGGAAGCCAGCTAATCTTGGACGTGGATTCAGTGTCCATCATGGGCAGCAATGCCTATCATACATTCTGGATTAGAGCCCAAGGAAGAATGGTTTTCAGCTTACTAGGATCTGAGAACTATTTTAGGATTAATGGTTGCTGTTCAACACCTAAGATGAAAAAAGGTGTTAGCGACTCAAAACACCACACAAATTATTAATACATCATGAACACTTGACCCTATAGGAATTTAGCATAACCTTAAAGAATTCTTTTTTCAATCAATATCATCATTCAAAACCTTACTCCAAGAAGTTATTGATGGTAGAGAAATCACATCGTATATTGTTCTGTCATTGTGAGGGTATACAATTAAGGTGCTTGATCCGTGAACTTCTCTGCAATGTTTCCTTTTAATCAGTCTGTAGTTTATATGGTCTAAGGTCATTAGTTGCTAAATATTTGTAATTTTCTGGCGTTTATACAGTTTTGAAATCACTGGTGTTATAGAGAAAGAATATCCCTGTGATTCTACATATTAAATTGCTGCTTCAAGCATATCGTGTCTATACTAGTATTCAATGTGTTACATTATGTAATGAATACTTGAAACTTGTACAAGGCTTTTGTTAATCACTTGTTTTTATCCTCAGTGATATTTTATGCTTCATTTTTCAGAATTGTCATCGATGAAATGCTTTCTTTACGCAGGCTGTTGTTTCAGAAGAGAAGTTAAATAGCTCTTTTCATGAGATTTGTGTGTTTTTAAAGTTTGTCAGCAGTAACATTCCCATCTTTATTTAATTTAAGTCATAATACTTTGTCAATAGCAATATTTATGATGTAAATAAGTGAAAGGCTGTGAACCTGAGAAGGAATATAATGTTTGTGATTTATCTATGTTCTTTATAAGACCAGGCTGGTCTTATCGTACGTTATAAACAATGTGATTCCTGTAGAATCATCTTTAAGGTGATAACACCTTGTGGAATCTGCTGTTTTGATGTTTCACTACTTATCATTCTGTTAATGTCTTCATGATGAGTTTATTTTCCATATTATTCTTTTTACACATATTATTTGTTACCAAATGCTTTGATTTTATTACATTTCTAGTTTATTTAAGAAATTATATATATCTTAGTACTCATTTGACTTACATCACGAGTTTCCTATTCTACAAGTTGATGAGAACACACCATATACAATGCTACAGAATGTTTTGTCTACAGTTAGATATGGCAGTTAATACACAGTAGTACCACAACTGGTAGGGTTGATTCCCCACAAATACAATACTTCTTACTTTGCTTGTGTCGTCATCCTCATGCTCAAGAATTCCAATATTCTCACATAAAGGCTCCTTATGGTGAAAGAATATATAGCTATTTACCCATAAAGGTATTTTCTATTTTGTGTTTTTATGAAGATGCTTATTTCTAAATATTTATTGAGTATATATTATGTATGGTTATTGTAAGGTTTGTAAAGAGTGTGTGGGTGTGTAATGGTGTGCAAAGGAGAGGGCGACTCTTAACAAAGATAATGATATTTATTTGATATATAATTGATACTTTTATGTTCAGCATTTACAACACCTCTGATCCATTACCCTATGTCTCTCCAGTAAGTAGTTGGCAGGTATTCCATGACAGGGTCACAGAGCACTGCTTGGATGTTGCATCAGTTGATATGTCACATCTAATGTTTCCTCACAAACTAGATCCACAAGATCCTCACAAATGGTGATGGTTTGGTGTCATGTTAAAATAGTTTCAGATTGTCACCAATCGGAAGTGATAGACAGAAAACATGTTCACACAAGAATGGCCATAATTAGTAATACCAAATGACCTCTTTTTACTCTCAAACATATTTACAATAGAAAAATTCTCAACTATGCCTATTGTTGTATAGTATTCACTATTACAACGTTTTAACTTGATGTGATAGGATGACCCTGCTAATATTTACTTAATGCCACCATGTTTTGACAAGCACTTTGCTTATTCTTACAACTTTTCAATAAGGACATTACAGACCATTGATAGTATACAAAATCTGATGACATCACTATTGGAGAGATAACTTTTGTGTAGCAACCCATCAGACCCATGATTTGCATTTCAATCTTTGAAATACCTTGGTATTTTTATTTCATGTTTTTTATGTAAATGTCATACTTGTGAAATATATGTACTTTGGAAAATCATGAAATATCCACTGTATATACTTAAATGAGTTATAATAACTTGTATACCATGTGTACTGTTACATAAGTGCCAGCTGAAGAGGGATGTATCACATAATGACTTGTAATATTCACTGATGTGTTTTGACAAAATTACAACAAACTGAGGTCTTGCTGTCCATATTTGTAAGAGCAATCACGCTGTAAAGTAGTAAATCTTTAAAGTTCGGGTGATGATCTGTGTTTTTGTTATAAGAGCAATTTCATTGTAAATCAATGAATGATGATGTGTTTTGTTTTATATTCTGGTGTTTTCATAAATCCTTCATCTTCTTTGTGCATTTGAGGCCACATTCATTAGATAGTGTAATGATGGTGGGCTATTCAAACTGCTCTCCATCACATCTTCTGTCTAGGCGTAAACAATTCTTCTTATCTCTATTTCTGGAGGACCCCTGGATGGATTTTTCTCAAATTTTATACATAAATTTCTCATTGTTTCTAGTTGTACAGTTTGGGCTGATTTCAAAAACCTCATGATTGGGAGGTGGCTGTCTTTTATTTCAACAGTCGTGGTTTGTTCTAGCTATTTGTGGAAAAGTGTTTGTTGAATCATTTTCAAATTTCCTCGTCGGTTGCATTTGGTTCCTTGTTGTGCATAGTTCACTTTGGGATTGATCTAAAAAACAAAATGGCTGATAGGCAACCATTTTGATATTGATTGGAAAAACAAAACGGCTGAAAAACAAACATTTAAACAATGGTGAGCACCTTCATGGATCTCCAGTGATTTGTAAACATGTTTGAGATGGTCTCAATCCAGGTCAGCTGTTATATTGTCACATTTAATTTAATTTGTTGTGTGTAAAACACAGCTTATACACTGATATTTTTATTATTTCTATTGTGTAAAGTTTACTGGTACCTAGTTAAAAATGGCAAATATGTCTTGCATGAGTCAGTCAGATTACCAAATATGGGCATATACAAGAGATTCCTGAGAGATATTGATAACCATCATTGAATGATCTTTATTAATTCTACTTTTCCATTTTTCTCTTAATCATTTGATAACAAGTCAATTTTACATATGGAGTATAAGAACTGATCACACTCAAATTGAATGGATGCAACAAAGGCCAGTGAGGAACGTATGAAGTTTGAGAATTGTCCATCAAATCCTCTTTTGATAAATAGCAATGACACTGATTGTTTATGGATAGCTATGGATCACAGCCAGACAGTGATCTGAACAGTCTCTGATCTGATGAGGGGCTAATAAATCTTCTTAACAGAAGCTGGATATAGCAGTGTGGTGTCTGACAGAAGCTAGACGGTGTGATATATGGTTCTAAGATAATCAAACTTTAAAGGTCAAGTGTTGAGTGGGAGATATATGTTGGCTATATTTAAATTACCATGAGTTGGTGACTATCACTTTGTGAGCACCAGCTGGGGAGAACAATAACCAATAAACTCTGGAAATTACATGTGTGTTTATCATTACTTCTCACAAAGTGGTTGAATAGTTCACCTTTCATCAAACAATACGACAGTAAATTTTACTATAGATTATACAGGGAAATCATACTTTTGATCATGATTTGTTTAACTTCTGTTGGAAATTATAAGTGCAGGATGACATTTTGATACTATGTACATATTGATCCTGGGTAACCCCCAGTGGTTGATGGCAGCACCAAAAGGGGTCAAACTGGTAGGAATTTCAAAAATTTTCTCTACACCCAGATACAGTAGAATCAAATACTCTACATGGATGGAAGCATATTATGTGTTTTACGGACACTTGATTTTCATGACCCCATGGTGCAACATTACCATTAGCAGGATTTCTCAGAATTCCAACATTGCCTTAATCCTTAACAAATTAGGCAGAAGTAAAAGCACAGTTTACATAACAAGTTATCTTACTTTGTTAAAATTATATCTATGACATGTTTCCAAAACAATGACAGCATCATAATTCTTGTCTGTCTATATTGTACCGAGTATTAACATTCTGCTTCTTATGTCAACTTATAGATATCTGACAAAGCAGTCTGTAATTAGTAAACTGTTTGCAGACACAAATCTGTTCCAAACAATGGAGATGCCTTATTTTAGACACAAAGGCAACAGAGACAAGGAAATAGGAAAACATATTTCACAAGCGAATACCTAGACTGCTGTTTCTATAAACAAGACAACCATGTATGAAACAACAACAGCTGGGGTGAGGTTTGATAAAATAACACACACACACCAGGGGTGAGTTATGATAAAATAACACACACACCAGGGGTGAGGTATGATAAAATAACACACATACCAGGGGTGAGTTGTTATAAAATAACACACAACACCTGGGGTGAGTTGTTATAAAATAACACACACACCAGGGGTGAGGTATGATAAAATAACACACAACACCAGGGGTGAGGTATGATATATAACACACACACCAGGGGTGAGGTATGATAAAATAACACACATACCAGGGGTGAGTTGTTACAAAATAACACACGACACCTGGGGTGAGTTGTTATAAAATAACACACACACCAGGGGTGAGGTATGATAAAATAACACACATACCAGGGGTACACACACACCAGGGGTGAGTTGTAAAATAACACACATACCAGGGGTAAAATAACACACGACACCTGGGGTGAGTTGTTATAAAATAACACACACACCAGGGGTGAGGTATGATAAAATAACACACATACCAGGGGTGAGTTGTTATAAAATAACACACGACACCTGGGGTGAGGTATGATAAATAACACACAACACCAGGGGTGAGGGGGGTGAGGTATGATATAATAACACACACACCAGGGGTGAGGGGGGGTGAGGTATGATATAATAACACACATACCAGGGGTGAGTTGTTATAAAATAACACACACACCAGGGGTGAGTTGATATATAACACACAACACCAGGGGTGAGGTATGATATATAACACACACACCAGGGGTGAGGTATGATAAAATAACACACAACACCAGGGGTGAGGTATGATATATAACACACACACCAGGGGTGAGGTATGATATATAACACACAACACCAGGGTTGAGGTATGATATATAACACACAACACCAGGGGTGAGGTATGATAAAATAACACACAACACCAGGGGTGAGGTATGATAAAATAACACACATACCAGGGGTGAGTTGTTATAAAATAACACACGACACCTGGGGTGAGTTGTTATAAAATAACACACACACCAGGGGCGAGGTATGATAAAATAACACACAACACCAGGGGTGAGGTATGATATATAACACACACACCAGGGGTGAGGTATGATATATAACACACAACACCAGGGGTGAGGTATGATATATAACACACAACACCAGGGGTGAGGTATGATATATAACACACAACACCAGGGTTGAGGTATGATATATAACACACAACACCAGGGTTGAGGTATGATATATAACACACAACACCAGGGTTGAGGTATGATATATAACACACAACACCAGGGGTGAGGTATGATATATAACACACAACACCAGGGGTGAGGTATGATATATAACACACAACACCAGGGGCGAGGTATGATATATAACACACAACACCAGGGGCGAGGTATGATATATAACACACAACACCAGGAGTGAGGTATGATATATAACACACAACACCAGGGGTGAGGTATGATATATAACACACAACACCAGGGGTGAGGTATGATATATAACACACAACACCAGGGGTGAGGTATGATATATAACACACAACACCAGGGGCGAGGTATGATAAAATAACACACAACATTAGGGGTGAGTTGTGATGTGTGTAAAGTTTCACTGATATCAGCCTGGGAGAAGTTGTGCGGAACAACAGTAATATGTTAAGTTTCAGCCTAATATTCTTTGAGGACTGGGGACAAAATGACAGTCACCAGTTGATGGCCATCAGACAGATCTGTTGCTATTTCAGATATCTTTCTCGAACAAATCAGACAAAAGTTTGTGCATTAACAGGCAGATATTCTTGTTATGCAACTATTTAAAGTCAGCCATGAGATCTCAATATTGGGGTAAATTTAGAAAGGACAACAGTCAAATGATCATACATGTATTTTATTACATTTATTAAAAAAATACAGATTTAGTTTACAAGTATAGAAACTCATGATAAAACATATTTATACCGTTTTTTTCCTATCAGAATTAAAAATAAAAGAAACTTCCAAGTTCAAACCAAACCATAAACTCCTTATTTGAATATGGAAACAAGAGGACCAAACACCATGCATGACTCACCTAGCTAATTTAGCTATTAAGCCATTTAAAAATTACAAAAAATATCCTTGTTTGGAAGAAGGACTTTGAAAAACTTACATTTCCCGAGTTGAGCCTTATGGGGCAGGGATGCACCGTTTATACAGAACTTAGTACCCCTTCACCAAAGAATGCTTCAGACCAAATTTGGGCAAAATCCAATCATTCCAACAGGAGAGGGATTTTAAAATTTCCCATTTTGGGCCCGCCCTTCAAGCCCCTGGGTGCATGACCACCATTTGTTTCACTTTCCCTAGGGATGCTTCAGACTAAGACAAAATCATGTAAGTCATTTTTGACTTGTAGTGATTTGTATAAAAAAGTTGACGGACGGACAGAAGAATGGATGCCGGATGCTGTGGTATGCCATAACCTTGTTTGGCCTGAAGAGCCAAGTGAGCTAAAAAGATCAAACCATATACAATGTACCTGTATAAGTCTCTCAATATATAAAAACTTTGATCAAATTGAACCTAATTCAAATTCAGTATAGCATCAACATCAATGAAACCAAGTATATAAATTCGGTGATACTGACCGAGCATTATGTGACCACTTCAGTTGTACCAGCTGGGGACAGATAAACTTTAAGTTTAAGGGATTGGCACAAACCTGAGTTCCCTCAGGCAGTACTGGTAAGGACTGACACAAACCTATAGTCCCCACTGGTAGTACTGTTGGGGACTGACACAAACCTATAGCCCCCACTGGTAGTATAGGTGGGAACTGACATAAACATATAGCCCCCACTGGTAGTATAGGTAAGGACTGACATAAACCTATAGCCCCAACTGGTAGTATAGGTAAGGTCTGACATAAACCTATAGCCCCAACTGGTAGTATAGGTGGGGACTGACACAAACCTATAGCCCCAACTGGTAGTATAGGTGGGGACTGACACAAACCTAGAGCACCCACTGGTAGTATAGGTGGGGACTGACACAAACCTATAGCCCCCACTGGTAGTATAGGTGGGGACTGACACAAACCTATAGCCCCCACTGGTAGTATAGGTAAGGACTGACATAAACCTATAGCCCCAACTGGTAGTATAGGTGGGGACTGACACAAACCTATAGCCCCCACTGGTAGTATAGGTGGGGACTGACACAAACCTATAGCCCCCACTGGTAGTATAGGTGGGGACTGACACAAACCTATAGCCCCCACTGGTAGTATAGGTGGGGACTGACATAAACCTATAGCCCCCACTGGTAGTATAGGTGGGACTGACACAAACCTATAGCCCCCACTGGTAGTATAGGTGGGAACTGACACAAACCTATAGCCCCCACTGGTAGTATAGGTGGGGACTGACACAAACCTATAGCCCCCACTGGTAGTATAGGTGGGAACTGACACAAACCTATAGCCCCCACTGGTGGTATAGGTAGGGACTGACACAAACCTATAGCCCCCACTGGTAGTATAGGTGGGGACTGACACAAACCTATAGCCCCCACTGGTAGTATAGGTAGGGACTGACACAAACCTATAGCCCCCACTGGTAGTATAGGTGGGGACTGATACAAACCTATAGCCCCCACTGGTAGTATAGGTGGGAACTGACACAAACCTATAACCCCCACTGGTAGTATAGGTAAGGACTGACATAAACATAGAGCCCCCACTGGTAGTATAGGTGGGGACTGACACAAACCTATAGCCCCCACTGGTAGTATAGGTGGGAACTGACACAAACCTATAGCCCCCACTGGTAGTATAGGTAGGGACTGACACAAACCTATTGCCCCCACTGGTAGTATAGGTAAGGACTGACACAAACCTATAGCCCCCACTGGTAGTATAGGTAGGGACTGACACAAACCTATAGCCCCCACTGGTAGTATAGGTAGGGACTGACACAAACCTATAGCCCCCACTGGTAGTATAGGTGGGTATAGGTGGGGACTGACACAAACCTATAGCCCCCACTGGTAGTATAGGTAGGGACTGACACAAACCTATAGCCCCCACTGGTAGTATAGGTAGGGACTGACACAAACCTATAGCCCCCACTGGTAGTACTGTTGGGGACTGACACAAACCTATAGCCCCCACTGGTAGTATAGGTAAGGACTGACACAAACCTATAGCCCCCACTGGTAGTATAGGTGGGAACTGACATAAACATATAGCCCCCACTGGTAGTAGAGGTGGGGACTGACATAAACCTATAGCCCCCACTGGTAGTATAGGTGGGGACTGACACAAACCTTTTTAAAACCTGCATACATTATTACCCCCAAGATCTATAGAGAGGATCTGACATGGGCTTCCAATAAACAGGAGATTTTTTAAACCAAAGATTTTTTTCTTCCTACTCAGTCTTGGTGACATAAGTGGAAATTTGTGATGAGTTTCAGATATATAGTATACCAGGTAAAATGGACACTCATGTGAGATTATGTTTATCACATTACTTAGATATTTTGTGAGGATTTTCGGCAAAAAAAAATAAAAACAAAAAACACATTAAAATCTGAATAGTGATACTCTCACTCTGTGTCTCTTATTTTGTGACATCATAATGCATGTGTACATGAAGTTTTCACATCACAATAATTGAAACTATGGGAACCTTCAGCCAATCACTGCTCAGCTAGATATTGTAACTGGTACACATGTAACTACAACACAATTGATGTCCTGGGTGTTATTACACAAATAACAGGGTACATGTATGTGATAGATATTTATGGGTACATACATCAGTTAGAGAAGAGAAATAATCTAAACAAACTCTACCTGTGAAAATACCATGAATATAATGTACATTTATTTACATATTAAAATTTCTATATTATTTTTTGCAAATAAAATGTTATCTTCCACCTCTATGTTGCTTTTGTGGAACTGGAGCCATTAAGCAGAGAAAAAAACATTTGATACTAAAAAATGTATTCAATACAGCACAATATTTATATACAGAAGCATTACAGCTATGACCATAGACATGGAACAGAAACCACATGCCAGTATAACTTTGGATCAACAACATGTATATTTCAGTGAATGATGTCACTCATCTTGCTTTTATTTGCAGGAGCTACATGGGGTATGAAAGGAAAATGATAATGATGTAATTGTAGAAGCCTACTTGACTCTGTTGACTGGAGCTCAAGATCAGATAGTTTCACAAGTCTACAAGCAAGCAAGTTTTCTCATTAAGTTATTCTTGGTAGTGATGTCTGTTTCAGTATCAAAAGTGAGGTAGACCTTTGATTAAGGTAGACAGCTGGTATACCAGTATATAGAATCATGTTTGACAAAGGGTTACCTTCACATCAATGGTTGATATTACTGGGTATTTACAAACACAATTTCTTACTCATCCAGTCAAGGAAAATCTATCTTCAATGATTCCTGTCCATTTGGGTAATTATTGTAAAAACACGACAGGATTTCATACGCTATATTTTTCATAGACATTTTCATGATTTATGATTTGATTCCCTTTTCAAAAACCACAAATACAGTGTCGCCAATTCAACAGACTTCATCAGGTCAACCTAATACTGGTCGTATCATTACCTGCTTAAATCATTTAAAATACTTTACTTCTGATCCATATTTAAAAAATTCTAAATCATTTTTTGGATCTAAATGAATGTAAATAATAATGTTCAAACATAAGATTGTCTTAATACATACTATTGATCATAAATGATGATAGGGCCCTTGGGCTATGAGGAGATATTTGTTGACAATAGGTTAACGACACTGCAATCACAGATTTTCCTGCCTATGAAGATATAGATTATGTTTGCTGACATGGTTAAAATACACTCCACACCAAATGAATTGAATATTCATAGATGTTTTTTCTAGCAATGTAAACAATGTACTTTTTCCACCATAATCTTCTTTTACACTTTATAGATTTACAAAGTCATTCAAGCAAATCCAATGAATTTTCAAGTTGAAACACATCTGTATGATCCAGGATCACCGTTTAACATTTCCAGACACATGTGAATGTATTTCTAATCTTTGTTTTTAGCGTAGATAATAAATCTTTTATTTTTGCACATAATTGATGGGGAAGAGTCCCACTTCATTTGTTCTCTCGTTTCTCCCTCTCCACCAAGATTCATCATCGACTTTCTCCAGCACTGTAATGCCATCTCCCTTTTTAAATTGTAATTCATCAGGAGCACCGGAGTCGAAATCGTACAAACATTTGACCTGCTGAGGAAGTTTATGTGATTAGTATATGACAATTTCCTGAGGAATTCACAGAACAGGATAATGATTTTCTGTAATGTGTTACAAAAAATGTTTAATCAAAGACTATCAAAAGCAATGTGATGAAAAGTATTAAAAACATCTGTTACAAAGCAAGAGACAACTTGACAGGAAAGATCCCAGGCATCAAAAAGTCAAAGACACTCATTTCAGTTTCATCACTTTCTCACAAAATTTCAGCTCAGTTGCACAAGTGGAACTTGAAAGTTTAAAATGTGTTTTCAAAATGACTGCTATGGCAGCCATTTTCAATTTCTGATCAACCTAATATCAACCTTTTCCACTGCTTTTCTAAAAACAGACAGCAAACAGATTTTATGAATTGATAATGCCAAAAACTTTCTCCAACACAAAAATTGTATTTAAGACATAAGACTCCTCTATTTTTGATGGAAGCAGTTCAAAAATTATTGAAAGATTGGTCTTTTAAAAATTTATCTTACATTGGAAGAGTAGCAATCATTCGAACTCTAGCATTGTCTATTTTTATTCAGACATGAACTGTCCTTCTGGACCCACCTTCATATATTACAAATGAGCTACAAAAATGTTTTTTTTTGTTTTTTTGTGGGATGGAAAGCCAGACAAAATAAAGAGAAATATTATGTATAGTGACTATGGAAATGGGGGATTGTGTCTTCCACATGTTTTAAGTTTTTGTCATTCTCTCAAGATGCCTTGGATAAAAAAAATCATTGATCCCTTGAACCATTCAGCATGGAAAATACTACTCATAGATGAATTGGAGGATGTTGAAGGGGATAATATTTTTAAAATGACCTAAGAAGGATTAACAGAATTATCAAAGCATTTTAATACTTTCTGGAGAGAAGTGCTTACCGCTTGGGCTTCTATACAAGGAAATGTGTCCCCCACAACCCCTGAAGAAGTGGTATCACAGCCTATCTTTTTTAATAGTTTTATTAAAAGAGACAATAGATGGTTTTTTTATAAACATTGGTGTAAAAAGGGCATATTTTTTGTTTCTGACTTACTAGAAAACAATATACTTATGTCTTATGATAATTTCTCTATTAAGTATAACATTAATGTGAATTATTTAGACTACAATGGCGTTATTAATGTCATACCAAGAAATTGGAAAGCAATTCTGCAGAATGTAAATGTTGATACACCTACTGTTGAATATAAATTAATCAATTACCTCCCTACACATGATAAAGTAACAAAATATTTTTATCATATTCTTATTCATTTATTTTCTGAAAAGCCAATAAGTAGTCAAAGAAAATGGCAAGAAATTCTTACTACTGATATCAGTGAAGAAACTTGGGAACTGATTAATCTCATGCCAAGGGAGGTAACTGATGATACAAAACTTATAAACTTTCAGTATAAAATAATACACAATATATTGTTTACTAATACAAAGTTAATGAAATGCAAACTAACAGAAACTGAAAGATGTACTTTCTGTATAAATGAGAGGGAAATTATTATTCACCTGTTCTGGGAATGTAGTGTTGTCACAACTTTTTGGCTTTTGTTGATGGAAATGCTAGAAAATAAATACCAAATAACCTTACTTAGGCATCGTAAAAATCTTTATTTTTGGTGTAACAGATGTAGATATGGAACACCGATATGAAATTAATTTTTTACTTATTCTCATGTAAGTTGAAAAATACGGTACCTACAATTTCTGAAGGGAAAAAATACATTAACTATCATAATAAAATAGAAGATATGGGAATATATGCATATACATATAAAAAACAAGAAAAGATAAAAAAAACAAATGGATTTTTATCAATCAGTTATTAAGTTAAGATAATCTGCTGATTAAAATAAAAATTATACAATTATACTTTAAGTTACCAACTTGACATACAGATATATGCACATGGTTTCTTTTTGTGAAAATATGGTATATTACTAAGTACATGTGTATACAAATTTATATCATTATGTGTAAGATGTAAGTTCAATATACATATGTGTACCTCTAAAGTATCTCTATATACAAATTTATATCATTGTGTAAGTTGGATAGTACAGTATGCTATTTAAAAGTATGTGTGTATACAAATTTATATCACTGTGTGTAAGTTGTATAGTACAGTATGCTACTAAAATGTATGTGTGTATACAAATTTGGATCATTGTTAGGTGAGATTGTATAGTTGTATGTGATTATGGAGAAAAACTTGAATAAAAAAAAATTTTTACCTGTAGTAATTTATTAGTGATTTTTACTTGTAGTAATCTATTTGTCATCTTGACCTGTAGTAGTAATCTATTTGTCATCTTTATATATAGTAATCTATTAGTGATTTTTATCTGTAGTAATCTATTAGTGATTTTTACCGGTAGTAGTTTATAAGTGATATGTATTACAGTAGAAACTTACCTGTGTCTCTTCACCCCCTTCCTATAAAAATACAAAGTGGTACAGACAAAATGAATAAATGCATGAATTACTGATTTCAAACAAAATAGAATTAAAGAGAAATAGCTGAAAGCATTTTTGGAAGCAATGATAGTGGGTCTAGGTCATTAATTTGAACAAACTTGGTAGCTCTCCCAGCATGCTATAGTCCCAATATCTGAACTGTTGGTAAAACTCATTGACATGTATTTGATACAACATCCTAAAAGCTTATTTTTTTTTGTTATATTAAAACGAAGTTATTTAAAGATTTTAAGATATTTGACACCTATGACCTTGAAAGTGGATTAAGGTCATTCACTTGAACAAACTTGGAAGCCTTTCATCCCAACATGCTACTGACCAAATGTCAGGCCTTTGGACCTTTCATTATTGAGAAGAAGTTGTTTGAAGATATCAATTATGTGACCCCTTAGACCTTGAAAATCAGCCAAGGTCATTAATTTGGTAGCCCTTCATCCCAGCATGCTTCAGTCCAAATATAAGAACTCTGGGTCTTTCAGGTATTGAGAAGAAGTCACAAATGTAAATTGTTTACAATGCAAGATGCACAACAGACGTTGCACAATCCTGGTCAAAAGATTATCTCAATAGGTCAAGTCTCAGGTGACACAAAATGCAATATTATTTTTTTGTTTTTATAACATAAAGCCAATAAAACCTGTATCACTCACTGTGTTTCTTTGGCTGAAATTACTTCATCCAAACTAAAGAAAATGGAATTCTGAAGGTCTACATCTATTTCACCACTGGGCCTCAACCATCTGCACCCGGGGGGGGTCAGCAAAAATCATTTATACAAAATTCCCCTTCACCAAAACATGCTTCAGACCAAATTGGGACAAAATCTAGGCTTTTATGGAGGATTTAAGAAGGATTTTAAAGAATTTACTCTATTTCTGAAATTGGATACCTCTGGCCATGGTGGACTAAGACCTACTGTTCACACAAAATTAATTCCCGTTAGTCCTAGGATTCCTCAGAAAAAAGTGGGAGAGAATCCTGAATTTTCTCCATTTTCCCCATTGGGCCCTGCCCGAGGGGTCCCCAAGATCCACCCTTTAGACAAAAATGTTTTCCTTTCAACCAAGGATGTTCAGACCAAATAGGGACAGAACTCAATAATGCATATCTTCAGGCCAGGCGGGCTAAAAAATCGGAGATTAGGTGAAGGTAGTAACCTAATTTCGGAACCTGATTTTTAACTGTTGCTACACAGTATTGTTTTTACTGTACATAATATAAATATACAAACCTTTGGTGTACCTTTCAAAAGAATGGTTTCTGTTCGACTGACGGAGACTGTTTTGTGGTGTTCTATCAGCTGACTGATGGAGGAAAACTTTACTACCCACAAAAAGAATTTACCAGATCCATCTCGTAAAATTTTGAAATGTTGTACACCAGATTTAAATCTGAAAAAAAAATTATAATAAAGAAATTTAAAGCAAGATACCACAGTCATTAAGAATTTATAATGTATAAATTTCAAGAAGAAATGATAACAAGAGGGACATGGCCATTTACAGTCTTCTGATAACCTATGTATGAATGGACAAAGGACATAATTTACAGATGGTGGTCTCACACATCTGATGACCTCTCAAAATGATATTTCAGCCCACTTTTATCAATTTAAGCATAAGGGAGAAAAGCATTCTGAAGCAAGATCATTGACTAACTTTCCCATTTTATACCCCACTCCCAGGTCCCTAGGGGTCAAATAAACTTTCTGAACACAAGAAAGGATAACCCACCTGCTACAACGTTTCAGGTCAAATTTGGTTGAAATCTACCCAAGAATTAAGAAGGACTAGTGTTTTGAAGCAAAATATTGACTAACATTCCCATTTTAGGCCCTGTCCCTAAGTCCCTTGGAGTCAAATCAACTTTCTGAATTTCAGAATTTAAGAAATAATTCCCGACCCAAAATGATGTTTCAGATCAAATTTGGTTGAAATCTGCTCAGGCATTAATAAGAAGCAGCATTTTGAATCAAAATATTGCCTAATTTCCCCTTTTGAGGCCCCATTACCAGTCCCTAGGGATTAAATCAAATTTCTGAACTTAAGAAATAATTGCCTACCCTAATTGATGAATTAGGCCCAAGCTTGTTGTAATCCACCCAAGCCAAAAAGGAGGAGAAGGGTTTTAAAACTAACTCAGCACCTCCCCCCTTTGGAGCCTTGTCCCTCAACCCCTAGAGGACAAATCAAAATTATGAAAATATTTTTCATAACCATAAAATGAATGAGGTGATAACATTGATCATCTTACAACAACACACCAGTGATTTCGTACCTCACTGACAATGAAAACTCTCCGGGTGTACTTTCACTATCCCTTAAGAGAAAATTGATTTCGTACCCCTAGAGGACAAATCAAAATTATGAAAATATTTTTCATAACCATAAAATGAATGAGGTGATAACATTGATCATCTTACAACAACACACCAGACAATGACAATGAAAACTCTCCGGGTGTACTTTCACTATCCCTTAAGAGAAAATATCCATCAGCATGGTCATCTTTTAGAAGCATGTCTTCTGCTTTCTTTCTTGAAATTTTTCTTTTATACCAACTAGCATAAGAAACAAAAAAAGATCAAACCTGAAAATAAGTATTGGTGACAATCATCATAGCATAATTATTTTCCTGTCTTAGTAATTTCACAATACAAATTATCACAAGTGTAACAGGTGTAAAATGTACAGGGTAACCACAATTAAGGGTTTTCATAAGTGCTATGTATAGATTTTATTTCTAAATACTGTGCATCCTCATATCAATTTCTGATGCAAATTGACCACAAGTCCCATTTTTCACTTTTAAATTACAGTAATAGCTCACTCCTGTGGCACCAAATTAAGGTAATTCATTGGCACCATTCCTTTTTTTCGAGTTGAATCTTTGCAGTTAACGGCAGTCCGCCATTCATCCTCGTTACTTCCATCCAGTACCTAGAAAAAATATAAAAACAAAATATCAGTTTGCAGAACAATTATCTAGAAAATATATCAAGACACTCATACAGCATCATTCTGGAATCATGAACAAAAATGTGCATAATAGGGAATGGAGCTTATATTCTGCCCAGAGCATCCACAAAAAGTCCTACCAAGACAGTTTGTTACAAAGAGGGACAAATCAATATACTCTCATCCAGTATGTTGCATGTGAAATATGAATATTCCTTGTCATTCAGTAGTTGCATATATTAATAGCCTTATCAGAGCTAAGGGCCTTTTGGTTATTCAGAAGTATTCCTTTAAAAATTTTAACATGTTTGATTCCGTATGTGAATCTGAAAGTTTGCCAAAGTCATTCATTTATACAAACTTGATTGCCTTTCATACCAGTATGCTCCAAGCCTAATATAATATCTCTGTGCCTTCTGGTCCATGGGAAGAAACTGTTAAAAGATTTTAACACATCCTACCCCTGATCCCAGCATACAACTGGCAACATATCTTGACTATTTGGGCTGGTGAGCTAACAACACTGGTCTATACTATCCTATGTGTCTAATGGAGAGATTTAACTGCACTCTGCTCCGGACAGGAAACCACATGTACCAGCTCCGATGGATGGAACAGCACCCATCAAGATTCAAAGGGTCACCCTCCTTACTTTTTGATGTATGGATGTAATTTCGGACTCCCTGTGGACATGACATTTTGAGTCCACACTGCACCAACAGTATAATTTCCAACTAGCTATGTGGATTCACTCTAAAAGCAGCTTGCTAGGTTTATGATATCACAACTCTGAGAGAGCAAAATCTATGAAGATGTTACTTCACAGGTCATCAACTCCACAGAGGAGATGCTGGTATTGGGAGTTGGTGTTTCAGACAACACTTCTTCTATACAGCTCATCAAGCCGTCAGGGAAAAAGATAAAAAGAAATTGGATAATGGAAATGAGTCTTTGGGAAGAACAAACTTCTAGATGATGAAAATTAAAGCTTCTCATGAAGCTGCACCAAAAATGTCAAGCAAAGATAGTAAATACTATGCTGGATGGGAAGATGTAGGATTCTTTGCTCTCAACAAACCTAGGAAGAAACAAATTCAGGATTCAAACAAATATCGCAATCACACTGACCTGTATATGAATTGTACCCAGTTCACCTTCAGTTCACCTTCTTGATGGAAGAGATTAACAATAAGATCCTTAAAACTGAGTCAGCAAAGAAACCAAGTGAACAGGTTCCGCTCTAGCTAGACAATGATTCATAATAGACGTTATGCTCAAAGTTACACTTGCTAGCATAGACTTTAATTTACTGTTGTAAAGTTCACTTTATATACAAAGAGGAAAAAGAAATGCAACTTCAATTCTATGGTTAATAAAATAAAATTAATAAGCAATACGCCTAAATGTGAAATGCAACAGTTGACTTTGAATACACAAAGTTGAAATAATGCAGTCGTCAGACCAATCCCTAATATGGTGTGTGCCCTCCTGGAACAGCTGTTGCATCGCTAATTCTGCATGGCATAAGGACACTGACAGTCTAGAGGAATGCTATTCCATTCCTAAGGAAGTGTGTTACCCAATCGACAGAGGTTATTTGGGATGTTTGTTTAATTCCAAACTCTTTTAATTCATCCAACAAGTGTTCAATTGGAGACAAATTGGGGCTATATGGAGGCAAATCAATAGGGACTATGTTCTGGGTTACAAGAAAATCCCTACAATGTGTGTCATAACATTATCATGCTGAAATGATATTATAAAAGGCACCACAAAGGCCTCAGGATGTCATTTTGATAACGAAATGTTGTTAAATTCATGATAATTATCACTAAAGGTGTTTTTAAACTATTGGAAATAGCTTTCCAAACCATCACGGATCCAACCAAACAACTGTTGTGTTCCAGATCACAAACATTTTGCATAACGTAAATTGAGATTCATCCATGAAGAGCATATTCCTCCAAAGTCTCATAAGAATACATATGGGCACATACGACATCAACATGCTCAAAATTGAGTTGTCAGTGGCAAGTCAACGTGTTAGTGATATGAGCCTAAATTTGTCTCTCGCCATCTATTTCTCACAGTTTTTGGGTGAATGGGTCAAAACAATCAAACAGACCTTTTTTGTGTCATTTTCGATTTAACATGTACACAAATAAATAAACCACATAATCTAAGTAATCACATAATTTCTTCATCATACATGTATCTAATTCATAATTCTTGATACTGCTACATCTGGCAGCTTCATGGCTGCTAGTACACTGTGAAAGGTTCATTATCCTAAAATATACAGACACCTGTCATTGCCTAGTTCCAACCTCTAAGCATACCTTCCTAAATTTCTATTTCATGTATCATGTAGCAGTGTTGTGAACAGGTTTTTTTAAGAAGAGAAAGAAATCTAAAACTGCATGTAGCATGTAAGGAACCCACCAAAAGTAGCACTTTGTCCTTGTTCTGCTACACCTGGTTCTAATATCTTAAAAATAATTATTACAAATATTGCCAGAAAGCTCAGAAACTTCAGATTAATGATTGTGGATTCTTCCTCTGGAAAATGTTGAAAATATTTTGTAAATATTGTCCCTCTACGATAAATCATCATTTATTAGTGCAGACATAAATTAGTGCAGTCGGAAGGGTTCAATTCCTGAAATCTGTTTCTAAAATTAGACACCAGAGTTTCTATTAAGACAGCAGAGACATGCATTAATGATCCATTAGTCTCTATATGTGCATATTCCACAGGTAATAATCTAATACTCCTCTTACATTTAATATGTTTATGTATATTCAATAATATTCTACAATTAAAGAAGCTGTGTTTCTTCATCTTTTCAATGTATAATGGTATTATGTCATCACCCTCTATTACATATGACCATATATCAACTTCTGTTCACACGACACAGATGGTTATGGTTATACAAAACCCCCATGTTGTGCTATATATATATATATGTATTTCTGTGATGTCAGGTGCTACCTGCATTCATCAATTAACTCAATAAAGCAGCCACAGAAATTTCAAGTACAGATGAAGAAAGATGGTGTTCAGATATAACATTATATGTATGTTAATTTTCCGTTCAATTCCATTCTTATTTCATCACTGTCAAACCATTTGTTAGAATGATCCATAAAATTTGAAAAATAATAGAGGAGTATGTTCCTTTTGCTGAACAAAAGAATTCACGTTTTCCTTAACATTAAGATATTCACAGCTGTTATAACACTGATATTTGAGGTCTATCTTAGGCTAATGCCTGAAAAGTGACTCCACTCGAGCTATCTTAAGAGTAGGAACTCGAGAGAGTTCACACTGTTTTATGAGTTGTCTCCCCTACACCGCGTTGCTCCTTTTCATTTATAAATAACATTACATGGTCAATGTTGTCTCATGTCACGAATAACCCTGAATATAAAATTGCTTTTTTAAATTTAGAAAATGTCTATCCTTTGTTGAAACACTATTTTTCGCCAATATAAATAGCCCAGAACGGTAATATTCCTATAGAATGCCTTCCATCCTCAGGCCTAAGATTTTGACAGTTTCAGGAAGTCGGATGAATGACACACCTATTTTGATTCACAAAAACGGTGATTGTATGCCATTACTCGACTGTCTTTGCTCATCTGGGATATCATCAGCGCAATTTTGTTTGTACTTACAAGTAATATGTCATCCTTATCGAATCCCAATTCGTCGGAATGATTTGGGACGAAGCTGTATAATGCCTTCGCTTCCATCTTGGAAATAAAAATGAAGGGAGATAACCGATGAAAAAACCCACACATCCGCGTGTCGTGTCAAACCTGAGAAGTCAAAATATATTTGTCCTATTTATTTTAACGTGTAAGAAAAAGTGTCGTATTTATTTTAAAACAAAAATATCTCCAACAACCCGTGTTATCAAAAGATGCAATAGTTTATATATAAACGCGAATTGCTTTTACAAAACGAAAGAGAAACTTCGTGACACATTAATCTGAATCATGTTCAATGCCTAACGTGGACAGATAATTTAAGATTTTTTTTATTTATTCAAACATTTTGAGCTATTATATTATAAGAAAAACATGTATATCGATGGAAAATCACCAATTTTATTATTATTAGCAGACGCATCATCCGTGGCCGCATTTAAATTCAGGAAAAACCACCACTTGAAAGTCGGACTTAAATATACCCATTGTCCGTGCTTGAAAGGTGTAGAACCCGGAAGTGAAACTAAGATGTTTCTCTGGTGACATGACAGTGTGTTACCATTGTAAATAAACAGTCCTATTTCAACAGTCGGTTTTTAGCAACATCGTCCATAGGTCATTTCCAAAACAGACCCACGAATTCCAGTCCAAACAAGATATTTGTATAAAAGTCGTGTTTTCGAACTGTGTTCTTTTAGCTCAGTAGAGCTGTATATTCTTGAGACTAAAAGCTGTGAAAATTGTGGTGGTGCAATCGCTGGTTTAGTTTATTTATAGACTAGCTTATGTACTTGTCATGTACTTTACCGGTATTAGGAAGTATTAACGTCTCATTTTTCAACATTTTTCAAAAGGTAATGAAGATTGCCATCGTCATTTGTGTGCACGTTTTTAACTTAAAAATTCTATTTGTGGATGGGATAAAAAAAAATGATGCCAAAATTTTCCGTTATTTCTTATTCCAGAAAAGAGAGTATTCTGATATCATAGGTTTTCTGTGATTGTTGATTCTGGGTTCAAATTGCTTTCAGATACTTTCGAGAATTTTAAAGAGGTAGGACGAGACAATAATAGATATAAGAGCTATTCAATTAGATTTTCAGAATATGTACGGAAATGATTACGAACGAGTCATGGCTAATTGCTTTGTTTGTTTTATAATTGTTTCTTGGTAAATATCCATATTTATATAACTAACTTGTATAACCAGTTCCGTGTCAATAACTATCGGACGAAGTGATCCTTAGGTAATGGCCGTAATGATAATTGTTGTACTGAGCAATGTTATACAGAACATCTCCTTATTCGAAATTTATTTCATATCCCACTTTAACGAAGATACCGTCAAGTGCACACACATATGTACCTATACCGATATATGTAAGATCTTCTAAATTGACAATGCGTTACATACCATGGCTATTTTTATCTCCTCCCATGAACACAAGAGTAATTATGTTCTCAAAATATTGCTACCGTCTGTGCACAGCTCATACTTCAGACGTTCTAAATGACGACATGCATTCATATAATAAAATGTGATGGTTTTATTCACAACAGATTTTGTTGAACTTAGTTGTAACACTCTGATTTCTATAATAATCACTGAAGGTGGTTATTTTTGTCGGCGATTTTAAATATGGCTATTAATGCTATCACGGATTTAAATAAGAAAATAACTCGATTATTACGGACTAGTTGATGTGGAACAAATGTATGCTCACTCATCCATGACTGACCTCATTGTACCTGTTGGCTATAGTGCCTACGACTTGATAATCGCTGAGGGGACGTAACCCATGGTATACCGTAGAAATAGCTGCATGTGATGTATGCGTTCACTAGAGAGTAAGCGCCTTGTTTTTAACCGTGATATAAATATAATTTTAATCAGTTTTAGCTTCGTATTAAAGATCCAAGACGCTTTTGATAGCATAATTCAGAAAAGTTCAAATTTGATAAGTTGTAAGGCAAAAGAGGGAGGACCAATAAAACATAGACAGCCATTTTGTTGTGCCATTTTCGATTCATGGCGCAACGTCATTGTCCATGACATCACTATTGATTTCCAGCTGGCAACGCAAATGAAAATCCCCACAGGGTATATTAAACTAGTAGTATATACATGTCTACCTGTACGTTGTGAAAATGGATCAGTCAACACATCTGTTGAGTAACAAGGCATACAAAAAGCTTCGAAACATCAAGAACACTCTTCAAATGATACTTTGCAATCCAAAGTTCACTGGGAAGACAAGTACACAAAATGATTTCATAAAATCCAAACAGACTTGAAATACCATTTGAAACACCCACCATTAGGAAAACACAAAGGACTCACCATTAGGAAAACACATAGGACTCACCATTAGGAAAACACAGAGGACTCACCATTAGGAAAACACAAAGGACTCACCATTAGGAAAACACAGTGGACTCACCATTAGGAAAACACATAGGACTCACCATTAGGAAAACACATAGGACTCACCATTAGGAAAACACATAGGACTCACCATTAGGAAAACACATAGGACTCACCATTAGGAAAACACATAGGACTCACCATTAGGAAAACACATAGGACTCACCATTAGGAAAACACATAGGACTCACCATTAGGAAAACACATAGGACTCACCATTAGGAAAACACATAGGACTCACCATTAGGAAAACACATAGGACTCACCATTAGGAAAACACATAGGACTCACCATTAGGAAAACACAAGGAGGACTCACCATTACACATAGGACTCACCATTAGGAAAACACATAGGACTCACCATTAGGAAAACACATAGGACTCACCATTAGGAAAACACATAGGACTCACCATTAGGAAAACACATAGGACTCACCATTAGGAAAACACATAGGACTCACCATTAGGAAAACACATCGGACTCACCATTAGGAAAACACATAGGACTCACCATTAGGAAAACACATAGGACTCACCATTAGGAAAACACATAGGACTCACCATTAGGAAAACACATAGGACTCACCATTAGGAAAACACATAGGACTCACCATTAGGAAAACACATAGGACTCACCATTAGGAAAACACATAGGACTCACCATTAGGAAAACACATAGGACTCACCATTAGGAAAACACATAGGACTCACCATTAGGAAAACACATAGGACTCACCATTAGGAAAACACATAGGACTCACCATTAGGAAAACACATAGGACTCACCATTAGGAAAACACATAGGACTCACCATTAGGAAAACACATAGGACTCACCATTAGGAATTAAAAACACATAGGACTCACCATTAGGAAAACACATAGGACTCACCATTAGGAAAACACATAGGACTCACCATTAGGAAAACACATAGGACTCACCATTAGGAAAACACATAGGACTCACCATTAGGAAAACACATAGGACTCACCATTAGGAAAACACATAGGACTCACCATTAGGAAAACACATAGGACTCACCATTAGGAAAACACATAGGACTCACCATTAGGAAAACACATAGGACTCACCATTAGGAAAACACATAGGACTCACCATTAGGAAAACACATAGGACTCACCATTAGGAAAACACATAGGACTCACCATTAGGAAAACACATCGGACTCTCACCATTAGGAAAACACATAGGACTCACCATTAGGAAAACACATAGGACTCACCATTAGGAAAACACATAGGACTCACCATTAGGAAAACACATAGGACTCACCATTAGGAAAACACATAGGACTCACCATTAGGAAAACACATAGGACTCACCATTAGGAAAACACATAGGACTCACCATTAGGAAAACACATAGGACTCACCATTAGGAAAACACATAGGACTCACCATTAGGAAAACACATAGGACTCACCATTAGGAAAACACATAGGACTCACCATTAGGAAAACACATAGGACTCACCATTAGGAAAACACATAGGACTCACCATTAGGAAAACACATAGGACTCACCATTAGGAAAACACATAGGACTCACCATTAGGAAAACACATAGGACTCACCATTAGGAAAACACATAGGACTCACCATTAGGAAAACACATAGGACTCACCATTAGGAAAACACATAGGACTCACCATTAGGAAAACACATAGGACTCACCATTAGGAAAACACATAGGACTCACCATTAGGAAAACACATAGGACTCACCATTAGGAAAACACATAGGACTCACCATTAGGAAAACACATAGGACTCACCATTAGGAAAACACATAGGACTCACAATTAGGAAAACACATAGGACTCACCATTAGGAAAACACATAGGACTCACCATTAGGAAAACACATAGGACTCACATAGGACTCACCATTAGGAAAACACATAGGACTCACCATTAGGAAAACACATAGGACTCACCATTAGGAAAACAAAGAGGACTCACCATTAGGAAAACACATATGACTCACCATTAGGAAAACACATAGGACTCACCATTAGGAAAACACATAGGACTCACCATTAGGAAAACACATAGGACTCACCATTAGGAAAACACATAGGACTCACCATTAGGAAAACACATAGGACTCACCATTAGGAAAACACATAGGACTCACCATTAGGAAAACACATAGGACTCACCATTAGGAAAACACATAGGACTCACCATTAGGAAAACACATAGGACTCACCATTAGGAAAACACATAGGAAAACACATAGGACTCACCATTAGGAAAACACATAGGACTCACCATTAGGAAAACACATAGGACTCACCATTAGGAAAACACATAGGACTCACCATTAGGAAAACACATAGGACTCACCATTAGGAAAACACATAGGACTCACCATTAGGAAAACACATAGGACTCACCATTAGGAAAACACATAGGACTCACCATTAGGAAAACACATAGGACTCACCATTAGGAAAACACATAGGACTCACCATTAGGAAAACACATAGGACTCACCATTAGGAAAACACATAGGACTCACCATTAGGAAAACACATAGGACTCACCATTAGGAAAACACATAGGACTCACCATTAGGAAAACACATAGGACTCACCATTAGGAAAACACATAGGACTCACCATTAGGAAAACACATAGGACTCACCATTAGGAAAACACATAGGACTCACCATTAGGAAAACACACATGACTCACCATTAGGAAAACACATAGGACTCACCATTAGGAAAACACATAGGACTCACCATTAGGAAAACACATAGGACTCACCATTAGGAAAACACATAGGACTCACCATTAGGAAAACACATAGGAAAACACATAGGACTCACCATTAGGAAAACACACATAGGAAAACTCACCATTAGAAAACACATAGGACTCACCATTAGGAAAACACATAGGACTCACCATTAGGAAAACACATAGGACTCACCATTAGGAAAACACATAGGACTCACCATTAGGAAAACACATAGGACTCACCATTAGGAAAACACATAGGACTCACCATTAGGAAAACACATAGGACTCACCATTAGGAAAACACATAGGACTCACCATTAGGAAAACACATAGGACTCACCATTAGGAAAACACATAGGACTCACCATTAGGAAAACACATAGGACTCACCATTAGGAAAACACATAGGACTCACCATTAGGAAAACACATAGGACTCACCATTAGGAAAACACATAGGAATCACCATTAGGAAAACACATAGGACTCACCATTAGGAAAACACATAGGACTCACCATTAGGAAAACACAAAGGACTCACCATTAGGAAAACATAGGACTCACCATTAGGAAAACACATAGGACTCACCATTAGGAAAACACAAAGGACTCACCATTAGGAAAACACAGAGGACTCACCATTATGAAAACGCAAAGGATTCCAGTTCTGTATTGAAACCAACCAATAAAAGGTAAAAATAACAGCAATTTTAAACATCCAACGCAGAGCTATAAAACATGTGGTAGGAATATAAACCCTTACTTACAGTAACTGGCTGAAGATTTTAAGCCTACATACTCTATAGTGTAGGAGAAGAAATTATATTGTCTAAACCTTCAGAATTTTGTACGATGTGGAAAAACTTGATAGAGAACCATGCATTTTCCCGGGAAAAAGTGGCCAATACAGACTACCCAGATCAACAACTTCTGAAGTAATATCCCAGTAAAAGTTGTGTCGGAATGTTTCTAGGATATACGAAATATGTACAGACTGCTGATAGTTCAAAAAGCATACTGAGTATTGCTATTCCCTAACAGCCCCCAAAAATATTAGACTGTGAAGACTTATAAATTTTCTAAAAATGGTAACAGTGACATTGTCCATAGCCGAACAACTCCGCAACTCGAACTGGTCCACTGAATACAACAAACAGGCTATGTTTAGAGAGAAAAGGAGTTGTCCATTTACGGGTGTTTTATAATGAACGACTGGAAACGAAGTATATGTCACAGTGTAAATAGTATTAAGCGTCACTAAGTATATAAGTGTCTGTAAACGTCCTGTCTAATTTGAATTCGTTACTGTCCGTGCATCTACGTGTATGTCCTTATTTGGTGTGTTACCTGTTAGGTATTGTCAGTGTCTGTCCTTATATGGTGTTGTCTTGAGACGTGTACGTGTCCAGGTGTGACAGGTGAGGAAGTCGTGCGAGAGTGAGTGCGTAGAGTAACAAAAATTGGGATACCCTTGGGTGCGGGTCAGAACTAAAGGATAGCCATGTCGCTCTGGACTTCCTCGGGAGTCCAGGCGCCACACATAGCGACAGAGGAAAATTACTGACATGACTCGACGGTCAGTGACGTGAGGTGGATTCCTAGAAACCAGCTTGCAGATATATATGGCCATGTCATTGCTAGATCAGGGGTACCAATAAAAGAACTTGAAACACCCAACGAATCCTAGTTGAAGGCGTGACATATAGATAACATGTGGATAGGATAACTAATCGAAAGCTTAGCAATATCCATGGCAGTACCAGTATGGGTATTTTTGCCATTGGAACATGTCAGACCTTGTATATATATAAAAAAGAAGAGAATATCGTAACAGAGAATATTGACGAGGTGATCCATAATAAGAGTCCATACTGATGTGTTCACAGATTTTACAGCTAGTACAAAAACAAAAGCAAAAAATTAGTAAACAAACAAACAAGAAGAAAATACCAACATGTCGACGATAAAAAACAATCCAAACTCAAACAACTTGAATAAAACAAGACATAATGTGAACAAAAAGATTTACACGGAGACTCATAAAAAATACAAACAAGGAGAATAAGACCAGGTGTTCCAAAAAAGTAAACGTCATCTGCATTAGCAACGACATCGGCCACCATGTGAATCATTGCCAATCCAAGTCAGTCATGTCACGTTCTCAAATTAGAACAAGGTATACAACAACGGAACCAATAAACACAGTGAAGAGCATTAAATACGTACAGCTTTCTATCCACAAAGAAATAGAAATTTCTCAATGAGACAACTAGTACGACCATACAGCAGATTAGGACGACTCTTGATTACAACTGACTTCGAGAACGGCAAGTTTCATACTCGATATTTTCAGTTTCCGGAAACAATACCGAAGAAGAAGCAGATTTTAAGGTCCCTGGGGCCTTTGAAATAGTTAATAATGCATTTGTGTTCAAACGTCGAAGGGGCCAGCAACGGGTTAACTAGACTTATAACTTGCAAGAACGGTATAATGAAAAAAAAAGATCATCACGTATTCTGAACCTGATGTCACCGCTAAACTGTTTTCCCCAATAATAATTAGATTGCTACTGTTTACAAGGCCATCAGCGGGGCTATCACAGTGAGCGCTAAAGTCAAACACAGTTTACATACAAATATGACTGACAAATTTATTTCAATACTACTGAACAAGTGTCATTGTCGATAAAAAAGCAAAAATGTACATGCTCGTGCAATAAACTGCATTGACATTAATTTACAAATAAAAGGAAATTAAGTTTTGTTTTGCCTCTACATCTAATATTGGATACAGGAAAAAAAACCCAAAGCAAATTATATTTGTAACCTTTACTCCCCCTGTTTTCATGCTTGCCGCCTCTGAAGATTTGATGACGTCATACATATTTTGACGTCATTATATCATGAATATTAATGAGTTAAGAGAGCCCATTTCACCACATGCCGTAATTGAACTTTCCCGTGTGTTACGAGTTTGTCCGTCAGAGAAAATCGTGAGAATACTTATAAGGAAATCGGTCTGTAATGTATAGCGATCGCTTTATGGTATTGTTTGGTTATTCAACCCAAACAAGCTGCCCATACGATCCCCTTTAAAAGGAACTTCATTACCCACAATTCACTTATCACAGCACACAATGAGAACTGCTGATCCGTTGAATGGATTAAAAATGATCTTGACCGACAAAATATCGTTTTAAGCTTTCACGTGGAAATGAAGTCATACTAAACGTAATAGATAATTCAGATGAATTTAACAAACATATACTTTACCTGTTTGAAACGCATATATCAAATAGATCGTTGAAAAAAAATCAATTTTTACCATTCAAGATTTTAGCACGATTGTGCTACGATGTGCCTGATTTGCGGTTTCACCTTCGGGAACTATCACGGTGAAATGGGAAACACATCGTCTCTTACATGGAAGTGGCCGAAAGATCCTGATTTGGTGTTTAACCTGTAACGGCTCCTAATTACAGGGGCAAAATGTGGATGTTTTTTCGAGAACTGTTTGAAATTACTTATGATCAAGTATTAGAAGTATATGATAACTATTAGTGGTGATTTTTTTTTTAGATAAAAGCAGTTTATGTAATATTGGTGACTTTGATAAGAATTTCATTTAGCTGTATATATTTATATTGATTTTCTGAATAACAATGTATAACAGAATAGAACTTTTTACAACTTCACACTCTTCTTTTCTACCAAGAAAAGTCAACATTGCTTGAAAACTGAGGGTTCTAAAGCTTTTTTTTATGATTTATTAAGAAACAGAACGAAAACTCTCAATAGCAATGAGAAAAGAAAACGATAGTGTGTCTTCCTTTAAATAGCGGGGCGCGGGGATAATGTTAAACTTTGTGTTATCTTGTCGTCTTTTGTTCTTCTTCGTCTTAATGTTTCATGATTGTATGTGCATGACTTATTTTCATATGGAAACATTACTATTTCAGCTTATTAAAATAGCACCTGTTGTAAGCATGCGAGTGGCCTAATTATGGCTGGAAACCCGTACCCCTTCAGGTAATCGAAACTCTTGCTAGATGAAAGACAATTGGGTTACAATTGTGCCATCAAACCAACGCCTGATCATGACTGGTGCATTTTTTCATGAAGAAGATATTGTGCTCGCTTTCAGGCAGTGTCTATTTCACATTAGCTATCTAGAACCCTACTAGTAGTAGGTCAAGAAAATCGACCGTGTCATTCAATGTAGAGAGAAAGCTAAGGTGTTCGAATTCGCCCGCGCGATTGAAGTACAAGTCCGGTTCCGGTGTCAACGCTCTTGTTGTTTCTACAGCGATTATTCCCCTTTAATTGTAATTGACTTCCGCTATTTTATTCCAAGATGGAAGCGACTGCGATTTACGACTTCTCACCGACTAAAGAGGATGAACTGGCTTTCAAAAAGAACGACACTATTGTTGTGAGTAAAATTTACATTAATTTTTAAAGTTCTTAATCGACTCTTTCTCAGAGTACTTCCATAAACTCTAGTGTAATCCGATAAAAGACTCTCTAACCAATGGTGCTGATGTAATTAACTTCCTGAAATGTGTTGATCTGTAAATGAACTATTGTAGAGTGGAAACATAAGACACTGTGCTCTTGTAAAATTATATGTGGTCATGATTTTCAAAATCAAGGATCATGTGATGTTTTAAAAGTTCAAGAGATAAGAATATCCTTTCATAAGTTATTCTGTATTATACCCGTCTGTCTGTTGACACAGGGATGGCACTTGAACATTAGTTTGACTATAAATAAAAAACATTTTTAAAATTTTTGATACTGATCAAAATCGAAAGAAATCACAAATGATTATTACTTTTTTCACAATTTGAGCTGGTCATGAAATAGTCAATATCAACTTGACAAGTTCAAGTGAGTTGCAGTTTCGGCTCTGCCATTGCCTACTAGAGAAAACTAAAAGCTAAAAGGAGAGATGAAGAAAAGGGACGGTTTGTGTATGACAATAAGTTCGATAGAAAGGAGAATGAAGAGTCAATGTCTGTTTTAGGGAAACACCATACTGCCTGATTAAAGGGAAATTTCCACTAGTAAAGACTAGACACTAGAACCAAACATTCTCTATATTTATAACGTAGAACTGTGTAAGGATAGTTCATAGCCAATTTCAATAGATGGAGAAAATTAATGACACACAGTATACAATCAAACATTTTCATATGTCTAGGTCAGCTTACTGCATTTCATGCCATCTATAGATGTACAATATAAATACATGATATCACTAAAATGTAACAACTAGGCTGTTGTAACAGGAATTGAATGATGCTGCAGTAATCTGATATTCCAGGAAAGCTCTTCATGCTCAGTATCTTAACCTGAGTCAGGTCATTACCCACCACTACTCAACATGAATTAGATAACACCTCCAGGTACTCCAATGTTTTAGTAATACTGGATTGTGTGTTACACAACTTTCACAAGCAGTATCACAAATAGAGAAAAAAACATCATCAGCAGGCATACCACAGTGGAGCACTAGTTTTATTAGATATTTCCAGAAGATCAACATAAACACCAATAATCACAGTCATGACGTCAATGATATGCCACATGCAATAACATACGCTCATTGGTGTATATCATCAATAAATTACAGGGTACAGGATCTTTGACTCGCGACTCTGGGTCTCTTTATATCGAGTAGGGTAACAGATCACATCAATTGTCTGTTAGTATGGTTTTAGTCTATCGTGCTATGACACTTTGATTTTTTCACATATATTATTCAAATATCTTTTACCACACAAAATCTTAAACCCTACTACCAGTATCAATAAAGGTAACATTAAGTGATGCTGTATTACAGGCATACTTTTACAAATTGTAACTGAAATATTTACAGACACCTTTGATCTGTAGCTTGAGAAAAGAACTAAGTCATGTTTTACAATGCTTTGCATTTTGTTCATCTGTATTCACTTTGTACAAATCAAGGCTGTATTCCCTTGGGGAAAAAAGTATGGGCTTCTGTTTTTTTACAGTTATTGTGACCAAACCAAATCAAGTGAGCATACAATGTAAAATATTGTGAAAGCAAAATACGAATTAAGCTAAACATAAAAAAAACTTATCTTTTTAAAGATAAAGAGATTTAAAGAAGATGAAATGGATTTTTCCTGTGTAAGCAGGACCATAAGGCCTTTTGTGTTTATATAAGAAAAAGCTGATTTATTTTTTTCTTGTGTTCAGATAACAGATAAGCATTCAGATGAGAATTGGTGGTCTGCTCAGCACTACGATAACCCAAAAAAGAAAGGAATGGTTCCGAAGAATTATATTGAAATGAAGCCACACAAGTAAGCTGTAATTTTATCTTGATGAAATCATCCAAAGGTTGACTGTGATATGGTAGAGAAATTTTTTGATTGTACATTTGTTACTAATATCATTTTTTATTTGTTTTGACTTTAAGATCTATAAAAATGACAATAGTATCTTGGCTTCTTCAGATTTTTAGCCCATCTGATAATTATGTGTAGATCTTAGTTTTCTGCCTGTACAAAACTATAGGAATGCATGAAGGACTGCATGAGACATAAGATATCATCAATTTTTGTGAATGCTTGGAGTATATCCATTCCAGTGTTAACACTGCTGATGTATTATCTTTATAGATCTTTGGCACATTTGTCGCCATCATGGTTTTTACCATTATAACTTGTTTGATAAATTTTATTGTACAGAGATAACTCAGCGATATCATTTAAACTGTGATTCACATTGCCAGGTATTATGTTTGTGGTTGTATATGTATGACCTTATATACCATACTTCACTGTGATGGCCATTTCTGGCAGAGAATTTTGTCAACAGGAAACATTAAAATGAACTCTATATCAAGGTTATCAGGTTTTGTTTTATAAGCTGATAGACAATCCAAAATTTGTCATGTACACAGTTGACAAAGAAACTTAAAATATGCAATTAATGAGCCAGTGATAACAAGGAAGGATATCTAGATCTGTCTGGATATGGTGATATGGCCGTCCTGGTGTAGTGCTAAGGTGAGAGTAGGGCATTGATTGCCCTACACGCGCAAAGTGAGGTAAATGGCTCGTACATCATGCAATATGCGTGCACAGTTTCTTTTGGCACCTGCATGTTACAACCAGCTACAGGTATCTATAATGTACAGTATGTTTTGTGCCATTTGAGATGTATATAGGGTTCTCAAGATTTATCTTCTCTTTTGCAAAAACGGGATAATCTCTTGCGTTAGGTGAGAGTATTGGGTGAACTGATACTGTGGCCACATCTAGTTGAAACATAATTTGATGAGCATTATCAATTAATTATGTTCCACCTTTATCGGCATATGTTTAATTTTTTTGATTTTTTGTAAAACATTTTACAAATTTCTAGAGAAATGCAATATCTCCTTTTTGATTGGATAGATATACATTAAGTAAAATTCTTTTATATTCTTCTACTAGACTTTAATCATTGAGCAACAGAATATGTAATGACATAAAGATGAGTATATATATATCAGTTAACTTAAGACCATGTACACTGCTATGGTTTTTAAACCATTTTCAAACTGTATTGTTGGTTTTTGGTGATAAAAGAAGAGTTTTTATCATGAAATCATATTTAACCCATCAATATGTGAAAAGCATACAATTTCTGTTAATACATATACAAACATCTCAGAAATTGTGATCTTTGCTATAAATATTACTTCTCTGCACCATCGTTTCATGCCTTTTTACTTCCCGCATAAAGAGTTTCAATATAGGGAGCTTATAGGTTACATTGATATGCGAGGAAACACTGGAGATATTAGGGTTTTCCTCCTGTAAGAGCTTGCGGCAGTATGCTTTTTACTCGTGTTTGTTCATTGTTAATGTCTTTTCTTGTGGTGGAAAGGGTACAATATTGGCCTGTCATTTTCCAGGCGCAAATTTGGACAACAGAAATCTTTTTATATTTTCTTATCTGTCGTTGTTCATCAGGATTTAGTAGACAATTTCTTTTGACTTTGCCCTGTGTGGTCCACATACACAATGTAGTTTCAGCAACAATTAAGATTGTCCTGATCATCACAAACACCTACATTGTCCATTGTGTTTATGATGACCAGTGTGTTTATGATGACCAGTGTGTTTATGATGGCCAGTGTGTTTATGATGACCAGTGTGTTTATGATGACCAGTGTGTTTATGATGACCATTGTGTTTATGATGACCAGTGTGTTTATGATGACCAGTGTGTTGTTAGTATCACAAATACCTACAATGACCAGTGTGTTTATGATGACCAGTGTGTTTATGATGACCAGTGTGTTGTTAGTATCACAAATACCTACAATGACCAGTGTGTTTATGATGACCAGTTTGTTGTAAGTATCACAAATACCTACAATGACCAGTGTGTTTATGATGACCAGTTTGTTGTTAGTATCACAAACACCTACCTTGTCCATTGTGTTTATGATGACCAGTGTGTTTATGATGACCAGTGTGTTGTTAGTATCACAAACACCTACCTTGTCCATTGTGTTTATGATGACCATTGTGTTTATGATGACCAGTGTGTTTATGATGACCAGTGTGTTTATGATGGCCAGTGTGTTTATGATGACCATTGTGTTTATGATGACCAGTGTGTTTATGAAGACCAGTGTGTTTATGATGACCAGTGTGTTTATGATGACCAGTGTGTTGTTAGTATCACAAATACCTACCTTGTCCATTGTGTTTATGATGACCAGTGTGTTTATGATGGCCAGTGTGTTTATGATGACCATTGTGTTTATGATGACCAGTGTGTTTATGATGGCCAGTGTGTTTATGATGACCATTGTGTTTATGATGACCATTGTGTTTATGTTGACCATTGTGTTTATGATGACCATTGTGTTTATGATGACCATTGTGTTTATGATGACCAGTGTGTTGTTAGTATCACAAATACCTACAATGACCAGTGTGTTTATGATGACCGCTGTGTTTATGATGACCAGTGTGTTGTTAGTATCACAAACACCTACCTCGTCCATTGTGTTTATGATGACCAGTGTGTTTATGATGACCAGTGTGTTGTTAGTATTACAAACACCTACCTCGTCCATTGTGTTTATGATGACCAGTGTGTTTATGATGACCAGTGTGTTGTTAGTATCACAAACACCTACCTTGTCCATTGTGTTTATGATGACCATTGTGTTTATGATGACCATTGTGTTTATGATGACCAGTGTGTTGTTAGTATCACAAATACCTACAATGACCAGTGTGTTTATGATGACCGCTGTGTTTATGATGACCAGTGTGTTGTTAGTATCACAAACACCTACCTCGTCCATTGTGTTTATGATGACCAGTGTGTTTATGATGACCAGTGTGTTGTTAGTATTACAAACACCTACCTCGTCCATTGTATTTATGATGACCAGTGTGTTTATGATGACCAGTGTGTTGTTAGTATCACAAACACCTACCTTGTCCATTGTGTTTATGATGACCAGTGTGTTTATGATGACCAGTGTGTTGTTAGTATCACAAATACCTACCTTGTCCATTGTGTTTATGATGACCAGTGTGTTTATATGATGACCATTGTGTTTATGATGACCAGTGTGTTTATGATGACCATTGTGTTTATGATGACCATTGTGTTTATGATGACCAGTGTGTTGTTAGTATCACAAATACCTACCTTGTCCATTGTGTTTATGATGACCAGTGTGTTTATATGATGGGTGTTGTTAGTATCACCGTGGGTGTTGTTAGTATCACCGTGGGTGTTGTTAGTATCACCAGGGGTGTTGTTTACCTCAGATAAATTGCTTTATTTCCTATTTTGTATAAATCAGGTGGTATGAAGGACTAATAACAAGGAAACAAGCAGAAGAAAAACTTATGCAGAAAAATGTTCAGAATGGACATTTTCTCTTGAGGGATAGTGAAAGTTCACCAGGAGACTTTTCTTTGTCGATCAGGTAATCATGTCACAGTAACGTCCAGGTAATCATGTCACAGTAACGTCCAGGTGATCATGTCACAGTAACGTCCAGGTGATCATGTCACAGTATCATCCAGGTAATCATGTCACAGTAACGTCCAGGTGATCATGTCACAGTATCATCCAGGTAATCATGTCACAGTAACGTCCAGGTAATCATGTCACAGTATCATCCAGGTAATCATGGCACAGTATCATCCAGGTAATCATGTCACAGTAACGTCCAGGTGATCATGTCACAGTATCATCCAGGTAATCATGGCACAGTATCATCCAGGTAATCATGTCACAGTAACGTCCAGGTGATCATGTCACAGTATCATCCAGGTAATCATGTCACAGTAACGTCCAGGTAATCATGTCACAGTATCATCCAGGTAATCATGTCACAGTAACGTCCAGGTAATCATGTCACAGTAACGTCCAGGTAATCATGTCACAGTATCATCCAGGTAATCATGGCACAGTATCATCCAGGTAATCATGTCACAGTATCATCCAGGTAATCATGTCACAGTAACGTCCAGGTAATCATGTCACAGTATCATCCAGGTAATCATGTCACAGTATCATCCAGGTAATCATGTCACAGTAACGTCCAGGTGATCATGTCACAGTATCGTCCATGTATAAGTATCATCCAGGTAATCATGTCACAGTATCGTCCAGGTTATCATATGTTTAACGGTTAGCCATGATATCAGGCCCCACTTGTATAAAACATCTCAACTTGAGATTTCCTCTAGCCCAGATTTTCCTCGGCTAATATCTCCTTGAAAATATCTGGTATGAAAATTCCTCAAGGAATTTCAGGACATCCTAGCCAATGCCTTCCTCCTGTTCCTGGAGAAAATTTTATACAAGCCGTTTTTGAGGAGATATCAGCTGAGGAAAATCTCGACTTCAGGAAATCTCAAGTTGAAATGTTTTATACAAGTGGGGCCTGATCAAATAAGGAATTATTGCACTTGATGTACAGGAAGAATGACTTAATTATCTATGGATAGACTTGAAGATGATGTGTAGTTTGTTTTGTCTTTCTTGTTGTGGTGGCGAATTAATCTAACATTTTTTTTTCAATTGCTTATTTAAATAGAAATACTATGATCACGAAGAGCATCTTAGTCAATGATTTTAATGAGATATTAACATGTAGCAGACAGTTTTAAATGGGATATTGTTAAGTAATTGTACCATGTTTAAGTTTTGCATTTAGCTCCATATTTAGCTTAATTTCTTTCTTAAGTATATAAGTTATCATTCAGGTAGTGAAACATGGAATGTGCTGATGTTTTTGACCGTACAAACAAATATCTCAGATTGAGGATTTCATCTAAGTTTACTGTAGATTAGACTTCATTGTTACTACCCGGGTAATTGGGCCATATTTAAGTTTCCCATTCACCTTGGTGTCAAGCTGTGTTTCTTGTATTTATGCTGTCTCAACCAAACCTGGAATATATTAACATTCATGTATAGCCATCCCAACAAACATTTCAGGTCTGAATTTCACCTACATTGTACCAATTAGCCTTTGATACTTAATGGTGCCATGTCAAAGTTTTCCATTTAGCTCTTCACTATGCTTGATTTCTCTCTAAGTACATACATTTTTTGTTTTTAATCCTGATGATATGTAGAAGTGGGGACAGATGAAACATGTAATTATATGTAATTGTTTATGTTTTTGTTTTAGATTTAAAAATCAAGTACAGCATTTTAAAATATTACAAGAAGAAAATAAATTCCATTTGTGGGTAGTCAAGTTTCCCTCCATCAACAAGCTTATAGAATACCATAAACAGTCCTCAGTCAGTCCTTCAGATAACATCATATTGAAAGAAGGACCAATTCAGGTAAATACATGTTTTGATTTTATGTATTATTTCAAACTAAAGTAACGACTTACAAAAATGAGTGAAATTATAAAAAACTTACATCAAATGTAGGTTTATACTTCTAGACAATGAAAGTCAGATGAACGGTTGATACAACAGAGAAATTTAGTGATGTGGAGGTGATGTGTCTTAATATAACAGAGAATTTAGTGATGTGGAGGTGATGTGTCTTAATATAACAGAGAATTTAGTGATGTGGCGGTGATGTGACTGAGTATAACAGAGAAATTTAGTGATGTGACTAAGTATAACAGAGAAATTTAGTGATGTGACTAAGTATAACAGAGAAATTTAGTGATGTGGCGGTGATGTGATGGAATATAACAGAGAAATTTAGTGATGTGAATGTGATGTGACTGAGTATAACAGAGAAATTTAGTGATGTGAATGTGATGTGACTGAGTATAACAGAGAAATTTAGTGATGTGGCGGTGATGTGACTGGGTATAACAGAGAAATTTAGTGATGTGAATGTGATGTGACGGAATATAACAGAGAAATTTAGTGATGTGACTAAGTATAACAGCGAAATTTAGTGCTGTGACTAAGTATAACAGAGAAATTTAGTGATGTGGCTGTGATGTGACTGAGTATAACAGAGAAATTTAGTGATGTGACTGAGTATAACAGAGAAATTTAGTTATGTGACTAAGTATAACAGAGAAATTTAGTGATGTGACTAAGTATAACAGAGAAATTTAGTGATGTGGCGGTGATGTGATGGAATATAACAGAGAAATTTAGTGATGTGAATGTGATGTGACTGAGTATAACAGAGAAATTTAGTGATGTGAATGTGATGTGACTGAGTATAACAGAGAAATTTAGTGATGTAGCGGTGATGTGACTGGGTATAACAGAGAAATTTAGTGATGTGAATGTGATGTGACGGAATATAACAGAGAAATTTAGTGATGTGACTAAGTATAACAGCGAAATTTAGTGCTGTGACTAAGTATAACAGAGAAATTTAGTGATGTGGCTGTGATGTGACTGAGTATAACAGAGAAATTTAGTGATGTGACTGAGTATAACAGAGAAATTTAGTGATGTGGCGGTGATGTGACTGGGTATAACAGAGAAATTTAGTGATGTGAATGTGAGGTGACGGAATATAACAGAGAAATTTAGTGATGTGACTAAGTATAACAGAGAAATTTAGTGATGTGAAAGTGATGTGACTGAGTATAACAGAGAAACTTATTGATGTGTCTGTGATGTGACAGAATATGACAGAGAAATTTAGTGATGTGGAGGTGATGTGACTGAGTATAACAGAGAAATTTAGTGATGTGGCTGATTATAACAGAGAGATTTAGTGATGTGACTTAGTATAACAAAGAAATTTTGTGATGTGGCTGTGATGTGACTGAGTATAACAGAGAAATTTAGTGATGTGAAAGTGATGTGATGGAATATAACAGAGAAATTTAGTGATGAGACTAAGTATAACAGAGAAATTTAGTGATGTGACTAAGTATAACAGAGAAATTTAGTGATGTGACTAAGTATAACAGAGAAATTTAGTGATGTGGTGGTGATGTGACTGAGTATAACAGAGAAATTTAGTGATGTGAATGTGATGTGACTGAGTATAACAGAGGAATTTAGTGATGTGGTGGTGATGTGACTGAGTATAACAGAGAAATTTAGTGATGTGACGGAATATAACAGAGAAATTTAGTGATGTGACTGAGTATAACAGAGAAATTTAGTGATGTGGTGGTGATGTGACTGAGTATAACAGAGAAATTTAGTGATGTGAATGTGATGTGACTGAGTATAACAGAGGAATTTAGTGATGTGGCTGAGTATAACAGAGAAATTTAGTGATGTGGTGGTGATGTGACTGAGTATAACAGAGAAATTTAGTGATGTGACTGAGTATAACAGAGGAATTTAGTGATGTGGTGGTGATGTGACTGAGTATAACAGAGAAATTTAGTGATGTGAATGTGATGTGATGGAATATAACAGAGAAATTTAGTGATGTGAATGTGATGTGACTAAGTATAACAGAGAAATTTAGTGATGTGACTGAGTATAACAGAGAAATTTAGTGATGTGAATGTGATGTGACGGAATATAACAGAGAAATTTAGTGATGTGACTGAGTATAACAGAGAAATTTAGTGATGTGAATGTGATGTGACGGAATATAACAGAGAAATTTATTGATGTGACTGAGTATAACAGAGAAACTTATTGATGTGTCTGTGATGTGACCGAATATGACACAGAAATTTAGTGATGTGGAGGTGATGTGACTGAGTATAACAGAGAAATTTAGTGATGTGACTGAGTATAACAGAGAAATTTAGTGATGTGGCTGATTATAACAGAGAAATTTAGTGATGTGACTTAGTATAACAAAGAAATTTTGTGATGTGGCTGTGATGTGACTGAGTATAACAGAGAAATTTAGTGATGTGAAAGTGATGTGATGGAATATAACAGAGAAATTTAGTGATGAGACTAAGTATAACAGAGAAATTTAGTGATGTGACTAAGTATAACAGAGAAATTTAGTGATGTGGTGGTGATGTGACTGAGTATAACAGAGGAATTTAGTGATGTGGTGGTGATGTGACTGAGTATAACAGAGAAATTTAGTGATGTGACGGAACATAACAGAGAAATTTAGTGATGTGACTGAGTATAACAGAGAAATTTAGTGATGTGAATGTGATGTGATGGAATATAACAGAGAAATTTAGTGATGAGACTAAGTATAACAGAGAAATTTAGTGATGTGACTAAGTATAACAGAGAAATTTAGTGATGTGGTGGTGATGTGACTGAGTATAACAGAGAAATTTAGTGATGTGAATGTGATGTGACTGAGTATAACAGAGGAATTTAGTGATGTGGTGGTGATGTGACTGAGTATAACAGGGAAATTTAGTGATGTGACTGAGTATAACAGAGAAATTTAGTGATGTGAATGTGATGTGACGGAATATAACAGAGAAATTTAGTGATGTGGTGGTGATGTGACTGAGTATAACAGAAAAATTTAGTGATGTGACTGAGTATAACAGAGGAATTTAGTGATGTGGTGGTGATGTGACTGAGTATAACAGAGAAATTTATTGATGTGACTGAGTATAACAGAGAAATTTAGTGATGTGAATGTGATGTGACTAAGTATAACAGAGAAATTTAGTGATGTGACTAAGTATAACAGAGAAATTTAGTGATGTGGCTGTGATGTGACTGAGTATAAAAGAGAAATTTAGTGATGTGGCTGAGTATAACAGAGAAATTTAGTGATGTGACTGAGTATAACAGAGAAATTTAGTGATGTGAATGTGATGTGACTAAGTATAACAGAGAAATTTAGTGATGTGACTAAGTATAACAGAGAAATTTAGTGATGTGAAAGTGATGTGACTGAGTATAACAGAGAAATTTAGTGATGTGACTGAGTATAACCGAGAAATTTATTGATTTGTCTGTGATGTGACGGAATATGACAGAGAAATTTAGTGATGTGGCTGTGATGTGACTGAGTATAACAGAAATAGTCAATATGAGAATGAAAGCCAAGTAATCAATTCTCTCTCTGCTAATACAAGGTTAATGTTTTGCACAGTTTACGTTTTCATTATGTGTACAATGTAGTTACAGTTATCCTACTTTTTTAACAAAATAATTTCTGTAACATGCTACAAGTGACCAATAAGGCCCTGGGCCTCTTTGTTTTTCAAACCTAACACCTTGCAGAGTGGACATGTAATGTGAATATTGGTTAATAGAGGAATGATGAAAAAGAAAAAAAATTACATGAAACATTTCTTGAATTGTCTTTGTTTGCTTGTTGCTATCTGTCATTTCAGAGACCTCTGAAAAGGTAGAAATATATCTGTAATGTATATATACTGTATATCAGGGACTGAAAGGTAGAAATATTTCTGTAATGTATATAAACTGTATATCAGGGACTGAAAGGTAGAAATATATGTCTAGAAAGGAAACTTCTCAAGAGATTACCTTCACAGCTTGATTACGTAATAATTCTAATTAAAAATTGGTTCTGACAATTTTTCCTTTTACACCATATGTTGTAAAGTTTTAATACTTGTGAAATTCTTTCACAGGTTACCTGTTTGTTTGATTTCTTAACGGCTGCTGAAGGTGAATTACTATTTCGTGCGGGAGATATGATTGAGGTGCTGGAAAAGGATGATAAGGATTCTTGGTGGAAAGGGAGAAACCAGAAAACAGGAGAAACAGGACTGTTCCCCGTCAATTATGTGAAAGAAAAGTAAAGCTTTGTTATGTGACAATTGTGATAAGTTCAGCTATTCAAAAGACAAATATTCTTGAAATTTGAAATGTCTGAATCAAAACCCAAGTTCTATAAGCTTCATATGCTTTGGTTAATTTTGATAACTGAGCAAAAATGAGTATGTCATTAATTTCTTTACATTGGTATAGCTTGAATGACTGGCAACTTGAATTGTGATAGTGAAGAATGCACCAATTTGCTTCACGATGGATGATGTATTTCAGGTTCACGGCACCAATATATTCATGTTGCTATGGATACAATATGTCAGTCACATAACCATGGGACCATTGAATGTATGGTATATACCGCGGGTACATGTTGCTAGCAGAGGACAGAAATTCTGAAATTTTATTTTAAAACCTAAGCTTATTCTTTGGTTCACATGCTTTTGCATTGTTAGTTTGCCTGAAGTGCCAAGTAAGCTTATGGCATACCACAGCATCAAAGTCTTTCTTCAAAGCACTACCCAATAGTAATCATAAACAACTGAGCAGTTTTGACCAAAGTTTGTTAAAAACATTCTCTAGAACGGAGATTCAGTTTTGTATTATACAGTGGATCTGACATGTCTGGGGCCTGAGGGGCTCAAAAGGGAAAATCAAACTCCTTCTTCTGTAGGAATCATTGATTTTTTTTCTAAATATAGTCTGAGCATCTTAGAGAGAGGGTAGGCCTGATAGGGGTAATCAAGTTATTTATTTAAAATCCTTCTCTCTCTGTAAGAATGACAAGTTTTATACCAAAATTTTTTCTGAGGCATCCTTTGGTGACAAGGACTTAATTTTGCATAAACAATATGTCTTATCCACCCCAGGGGCAGAGGAACTAGACCTGATAATGGAAAGAGATATATAAGTTAGTGATACATGCACCATGGACCTCTTGTATTCAACATTTATGAATTTATGTTTAGATTAAGTTGTCTTTCAAAGTGAAATGTGTAAAGAACTGATTTTGGTTCCACTGCTTAGCACTGTTGGTCCCGGTTCCCACAAGTAATTAACGGAAATGGTAATAGTTATGTCTTTAAGTAATAAGAAATAATCTAGTTTTTATATCATTTCCACACAGTGTTAGTGGATTTTCATTAGTAAGACTGTTGACTTCCATGTAGTACCATCAAAGTTTGTTACATCAAATCTCTTGATTTTTACACAGTACATATGTATTGACAAAGTTTGTTACAACAAAACTCTTGATTTTTACACAGTACATATGTACTGACAAAGTTTGTTACAACAAATCTCTTGATTTTTACACAGTACATATGTACTGACAAAGTTTGTTACAACAAATCTCTTGATTTTTACACAGTACATATGTACTGACAAAGTTTGTTACATCAAATCTCTTGATTTTTACACAGTACATATGTATTGACAAAGTTTGTTACATCAAATCTCTTGATTTTTACACAGTACATATGTACTGACAAAGTTTGTTACAACAAATCTCTTGATTTTTACACAGTACATATGTACTGACAAAGTTTGTTACATCAAATCTCTTGATTTTTACACAGTACATATGTACTGACAAAGTTTGTTACAACAAATCTCTTGATTTTTACACAGTATATAGATACTGTCATACTTTCTCACAATAACAAGTACATCAGTCTTCTTGTATCAATACCTGATATGTAAACAGATGTAAATTGTTACATTGTAACAAGATAATCGTCTGTCCATGACATGTTGATTTTCTATATTCTCTATAGATTAGTCAGAAATACTGGCGTATATAACAGTATTTATCTACATCTGAACTAAGTATCAAGTCATTTTAAAAAGGTTTTCTTTATATTTAATGGTTTCCACAATAGTTATAAATAGATGCTTGGAAACATTGTTTGTTATGTTTGAAAAGAATACCGGGTATATGAAATTATATGTATGTAAATGTCTATTTACTTGATGGTGTTTTCATTTGTAGAGATTGTTTATGGAGTCTCTTCTCATTTATTTGTGCGACACACTTGTCTCCTCATTTTTTGTGTAGATCAATTTGAAGTGACAAACATGTTTTATTGTTTTGTAAATAGTGATATGTACTGTTTTAATTTGAGAATCGATACCACCACTACATTTAAATATTATCATACAACATTATTTTATCACCATATATAATCATTTCCAAACTATTTAATCAGGAAGAGTACCACAGGAACGTCTGTCAATCAGGTATGTTAATCGCCAAATCAGAGCCCTAGTGGGTAGGGAGCTTCTCAACCAGGTACTTCTTTTAACAGATAAAGGTCCCATTGGCAAGGCACATCTATAACCAATCTGGGACCTAATAACTCTGAAACCTCTGAACCCCAGTGGCATGGCAACTTCTTCACTAGTACTTTTTATTGGCAGATTAAGGTACCAGTCGTTAGGGAACTTTTGAACCAACAGTGACTTTTTTGTGCTTCTGGATAATTTATGATCGTTCTAAAATTTCTAAGCATTTTGTGTTGAATCCAGTATGTAGTCGTTTGATAGTAGATAATTTGAAACATAAAACAGAAGTTGGTATTAAAATTTACCATTATTATCAAAACGTACCTAATGCAGATTTGACACCATATGAATAATGCAAGTGTTTCCTTCTATAGATTACATTAAATACATCATGGTGTTTATAGTATGTTTTCTTGTGTCAAGAAACATCTGTTGTTAACATTGTAAGGTAACATAGATATGTGTCTGTCAATGGAAACACAGAAAGTGTGTCGTTAACATTGTACAACATGGGAAGAGTCTACAACATGAATTGTCAATGTTTGTATTGTGCAATAAAGTGTTTTACACTGATTGAGGAACATTGTGTCAGTCAACAGCAAGACTGAAAGTGTGTTGTTTGTATAATGAAGTATTTTTCAATGATGTGAGGGACCTTTTGTGAGTCCACAGCAGAGCTGGAAGTGTGTAGTTGACATTGGATATTAAAGTAGTTACTTTATTCAACACTGATATTAATGCTTTACAGTAAACTACCTTTTTGCAATGATTACATACAGACAGTGAATGTCATTGTAAAAGAAGCATTATATTTTCAAACAAATGAATTTTGGTTTCCTTCAGCATTGATTTTCATTCCTGTAACGTTTTTTTTTGCTAGATTGCTTGACATATATGTAGCACTGTTACACTGTTTTGTGTGCTGCCTTAATGCTAAGCATAATATTTTCAAAGTATGTTTATCAGGGAATATATATGATATTCTATAATGCAAATAAGTATTAGAAGAAAAAAGAAGAGAATTTTGGAACCTGTTTGTAACTTAAAATCAGATTCCATCAGTGCTTGAAAATGGAGATATTTTCTGCTTTTCCCTTTACAACAAACAAATACCATTTGGTGTATGATGAATCACTTTGTTGTTGGTGAATATTTGTATAAGCAGACCAGTAAGTGAGTACAAATTTTACTGTTAAAGTCTCCCCCTTCTCACATATATCTGTCATTGGATGAATCTCGATATAGAATTTTTGAAGATTAAAGAAGGGAGAGAACTCCTCTTGTGTTTATTATTTCATAATTTACATTGACCTCAAATATGGCTAAGCAGCCAAAGAAATGTAACTTGATGGTTCTGCATTCTGGCAACTGGAACAGCATTAACAATTTTAGAGACTTTCATACCCTCCTACACTACCCTGTACAGAAGCTCTGGGATGTCCCCCAATACTTATTTTCAAGTTCATAGGATTGAGATTTATTAAAACACTGTATTCTTTCTGGTAATTAAAAATTACTCTCACCATTTGTAGAAGAAGAACACTTCTGTCTGATGATGATAAGTGGAATTGATTTCTACAATATTCTGAAAAGAAATAATCCTGACTCATATTCATGGTCATGGTTGTCAAATTTGTTGAAATAATTTTGTGTCCGATTACCAATTTAAGCGATTTGGACATTGGTACTATCCATTGTTTGTCTGAAATTTTAAAGTCACGATGAAATGAAATTTTCTGGAAAAGGGTCTATGAGTTAAATAAGTAATAGATGAGTAATATTTGCTTTTGCAATGGCATCATGCTAAATGTTGAGGTGTCCAGCTGAGAAATGTTGGCCATACATCATCAGATGGTGAGCTGTTCGGATCGTCTTTTGTCCATGGTCTGTCCATAAACAATACTTGTTATCATTGTTTAAAACTCAACTGGCCTGAAGGGCCCCCTTGGGCCAGATAGGCAGGGCCCAGCAGAGAAAATCTAACCCCCGAGTAGATTTAGTTCATTTTCATAGTATTGCTTTGCACCATCAACATTTCATTTGGATCTTTGGGTCTCATTGAAACAGTTGTGATCCCCACTGAATAGCTAAAGCACTGCTGAGTCTCCGGAGATAAATACAATCATAATATAATTTGCCCTGAGGTCTGGCCCCACCCCAGGACAGGTTATATCTATGAAGTCATTGAGATTAACATCCATAACATAATAGCATTTACTGGACATGAAAAGATTAACAATGATATCTGTCCCCACCCATGGGGAATTTGAGGCTCATCAGAGGAAGAAATGTAAAGTTTTTTATTATCGACTTAAACATCCAGGGGAGTGATACAGGCCCTCTGGGCCTCTTGTCTTCAGAAGTGTCATAAGAATATTTTTCAAATTTCATATTTAGTTGAAGCTTGTTTTTGCTTTATCTTGAGAAGAAAGGGAATGGACATTTCTGAAACATGATGTGTAGGTTACACTTGTTTCATAGTTGTGCAAAATTCTGAGTCTATTTGGAAAACAAACTGGATAATTATGTGGCCATCTTGGATTTCGGCATTTGGAGTTTGCTATTGCTGTCTCAAGAAGAATCAAAATGATAATTCTCATACTTCCTTTGTTTGTTTCCCTTGGTTAAAATTTGCAAATCTTCAAGAAGGACTGCACCATTCAATCTACAGACAAACAGTTAATACACTGTAAAAAGGAAGAGAATTTGTATCTTTCTTTGTTCATTAGCTTCTGTCTCTTGTTTTAAGGTTTATTATTTTATTTCCAAAATGATTGTGTACATAATACAAGAAAAGGATATAGTTAAGCTTAAATGCTGTGGAATAAGGTAACTAATAGTCTGCAAATTACGTTTTTATGGGTCCTCTACTTTATTCTTTAATGGAAATGTGTTGCTTTCGCCAGACAATCAGAGAGAATGTTCAGCTGTCCATGAAAAATAAGAGTGTAAGTCATGCTGTACTCACTGTGTTTAAGACAAAGGTGTGTAAGTCATGCTGTACACACTGTGTTTAACACAAAGGTGTGTAAGTCATGCTGTACACACTGTGTTTAAGACAAAGGTGTGTAAGTCATGCTGTACTCACTGTGTTTAAGACAAAGGTGTGTAAGTCATGCTGTACTCACTGTGTTTAAGACAAAGGTGTGTAAGTCATGCTGTACACACTGTGTTTAAGACAAAGGTGTGTAAGTCATGCTGTACACACTGTGTTTAAGACAAGGGTGTGTAAGTCATGCTGTACTCACTGTGTTTAAGACAAAGGTGTGTAAGTCATGCTGTACACAGTGTTTAAGACAAAGGTGTGTAAGTCATGCTGTACACACTGTGTTTAAGACAAAGGTGTGTAAGTCATGCTGTACACAGTGTTTAAGACAAAGGTGTGTAAGTCATGCTGTACACAGTGTTTAAGACAAAGGTGTGTAAGTCATGCTGTACACACTGCGTTTAACACAAAGGTGTGTAAGTCATGCTGTACACTGTGTTTAACACAAAGGTGTGTAAGTCATGCTGTACACTGTGTTTAAGACAAAGGTGTGTAAGTCATGCTGTACACACTGCGTTTAACACAAAGATGTGTAAGTCATGCTGTACACACTGCGTTTAACACAAAGGTGTGTAAGTCATGCTGTACACTGTGTTTAAGACAAAGGTGTGTAAGTCATGCTGTACACACTGCGTTTAACACAAAGATGTGTAAGTCATGCTGTACACACTGCGTTTAACACAAAGGTGTGTAAGTCATGCTGTACACTGTGTTTAAGACAAAGGTGTGTAAGTCATGCTGTACTCACTGTGTTTAAGACAAAGGTGTGTAAGTCATGCTGTACACACTGTGTTTAAGACAAAGGTGTGTAAGTCATGCTGTACTCACTGTGTTTAAGACAAAGGTGTGTAAGTCATGCTGTACACACTGTGTTTAAGACAAAGGTGTGTAAGTCATGCTGTACACAGTGTTTAAGACAAAGGTGTGTAAGTCATGCTGTACTCACTGTGTTTAAGACAAAGGTGTGTAAGTCATGCTGTACATAGTGTTTAAGACAAAGGTGTGTAAGTCATGCTGTACTCACTGTGTTTAAGACAAAGGTGTGTAAGTCATGCTGTACACACTGTGTTTAAGACAAGGGTGTGTAAGTCATGCTGTACTCACTGTGTTTAAGACAAAGATGTGTAAGTCATGCTGTACACACTGCGTTTAACACAAAGGTGTGTAAGTCATGCTGTACACGTGTTTAAGACAAAGGTGTGTAAGTCATGCTGTACTCACTGTGTTTAAGACAAAGGTGTGTAAGTCATGCTGTACACACTGTGTTTAAGACAAAGGTGTGTAAGTCATGCTGTACACTGTGTTTAAGACAAAGGTGTGTAAGTCATGCTGTACTCACTGTGTTAATTGCAAGGTGTGTAAGTCACTCTGTAAACACAGTGTTTAAGACAAAGGTGTGTAAGTCATGCTGTACTCACTGTGTTTAAGACAAAGGTGTGTAAGTCATGCTGTACACAGTGTTTAAGACAAGGGTGTGTAAGTCATGCTGTACTCACTGTGTTTAAGACAAAGGTGTGTAAGTCATGCTGTACACACTGTGTTTAAGACAAAGGTGTGTAAGTCATGCTGTACTCACTGTGTTTAAGACAAAGGTGTGTAAGTCATGCTGTACTCACTGTGTTTAAGACAAAGGTGTGTAAGTCATGCTGTACACACTGTGTTAAGTACAAGGTGTGTAAGTCATGCTGTACACACTGTGTTAAGTACAAGGTGTATAAGGCATGCTGTACACACTGTGTTAAGTACAAGGTGTGTAAGTCATGCTGTACACACTGTGTTAAGTACAAAGTGTGTAAATTTTCACTTAATGCTTACAAGAAAGATGAAGTGAGGAAGTTTGTGGGCTGGTGTTGGTCAATATTCTATAAGCATTCCTGTGTGATATTCTTCAATCTTTTCATTTTAAAAAGTAAAATCCTTCCTAGATTTTAAAGAAAAGTTAGAACTGAAGTCTTCAATTTAGAAAGAAGATTGATTACTTACAAACTCCTTCATGTACATCTATATATTTACACATACTTAGTGATCAGAAAAGAAATAGGTTATATTTAGTATGTTTATTGTTAATATAAGAGATTACTACATCAATTTTGCTGTTGACATCAAATTTATTTTTTAGTTTGTAACTTGATGCTGTACATACAGCACTGAATACAAAGATATTTGTGGTTAGATTTTGATATAAGAAAAAGCATTGAATTCTGAATTGCTTTTAAGAAAGTTGATTTTTCTATGTGGCTTTTAATGACACATGAGTTAGGATATATTTAATATCTGTCTTTATGGTGTGAAAAAAAAGATGTGTTATGGAATGTATCTTTCATAGAAATAAATTCTTATGCTATTATTTCTAGTTTGTTATATTGTCATCCTTGTCTTTCTCTGAACACATGGTTAGATGTTCAAATCACCTTTAGTTTGTTGTCTGAAACAGTTCTTTTATCTCTATCTTTTGATCTACTGAGTGAATTTTGAAACGTTGTACCTTGGTTTTCCTTAGTTCCTGATAAAACTTTAGAATATGGGTTCACGTTGAAGAGGTTGAGTCATGTATCAAAAGTAGGTCACACTGACCTACATTTTGACCTATGACAAAAGCAAAGAAAGTGACAATGTTATCTTGTCAAGTTTTAGCTCACTTTGCCTGAAGGGCCAACTGAACTATGTGGATAATGCAGCATCTGTTGTCTGTCAACTTTTGCTACAAAATGCTGCTAGTCATGAACAACTGAGGGGATTTTGATCAAATTTGGTCAAAAGCTTCCTTGGGGAAGGGGAAAATTTATTGTGTATAAATGGTTTGTATAATTTTTTTTACATGAAGCTAATCAATTTTGTTTAAACAGTGGATCTTGGAGACCCTCCTGGGGTGGGGAGGGGGCAGGGCTCCTTAGGGGAAACAGAGCAATTCTTAAAAATCCTACTCCTGCAGGAATGATTGGTTTTGCCAAGATTTGGTGTGAATCATGTTTTGAAGGGGAATCTATTTTGTATTAATGGTGGATCTCAGCTCCCTAGGACAGGAGGGGAGGGATTCAATAGGGGAAACGTGTTTAGTTTAGATCCTCATCCCATAACCATGTATAACACTGCTGGTCATAAAGAGTAAAACACAATTGTGATACAAGAATTGGCCCTAGGGTCTGGCCCCACCCCTCTGAACTTAATTTCTGGGAATCAAAAGATAAAGACAAGAACTGGCCCTGGGGTATGGCCCCACCCCTCTGTACTTATTTTCTGGGAATCAAAAGATAAAAGCTTTAATTTGGAAATATTTCAAATATGGACCTCTTGTTAGAAAATCACTAGATATGTTAGCAACTCCATTCCTTCAGGAATTCTCATCAACCTTCACACATTAACGAAGCATCAAAATATCTTGGACATGTTAAAGTATCAGGGTTGTTGGATCAAGACAGCCATAATTGATTCTGATAGTTATATGTTATGTTGATCTCTCGTGTACCGAGTTTTATTCTCATATTTCATATAATTAAGAAGAAATATATAAGAGAAGAGACAGGAAAAGAAGAAAGCAGATGATCATATTATGGTAGAAACAAAGATAATTCTTGTCTTTTTCTTCAAGTATTCAGCACTCTTGACCGGAAAACAAGTCAGCTTATGCTAATTGGCAGCGTCAGCAATCGGTCAAAGGTCAACTTTTGCCTTTAAATAATATTCTCAATATCTACGAGATACAGGGTACTACTGGGCCTGTAGGATGCTAAAGTTCAGGGCTACGAAGTTTGTTCATCTGTTGTTCTTGATTCATGTTTTTTTGAGACCTTGATAGTTGGTCAAGGTCAATCAGTTTAACAGACTTTATTAGCCCTTCATAATGTATCTCCTGTTGGCCCCCTACCCAATGGGCCTCCGACTGTCCAACGAGATCCTCTAGAGTATTGGACCTTTCCCATTCTTTTCTGTCTTTGCTGTTAATCCTATAAATTTGAATATTTGTCTTGGAAAAACAAAGCAATAGCAATAACAATCTTTAACTACCAAGTCTCTTTGTCAACCATTTTGTTTTTTCTGATCAGTTCCACTATCAAAATGCTACAACTAGGGACTAAGGGGTATCTAAACATGAAATCTAAGGAAGATCCACCCAGTGCTTCTCAAGAAACTTGTTCATGACAGACCATGTACAAAGGATTCTTAAAGAGTCCACCATTTGAAGATTGACAACTGTCAGCAATTTTTTTTCAGCAAGTCAAATGGCCCAACCAGGAGACAAGGGAATCCTACATATTAAATTTGACAAAAATCCAAAAATAGCAATATAAAACATTCAGTCAGATTTCAAGATGGCTGCCTGTCAACCATTCTGTTTTTCTAATTTGTCCCACAATAAAGAGGACACAACAAGGGACAAAGATATACCTACACAGGAAATTTAAGGTTCTCCTCCACTGAAAGGCTAAAGGTCGTATTTGTGGACATAAAACCTGTTAAATAAATGAAGTTTGTGAAACAGCCCTTCAGTACTTCTGAAGATAAGGTGATAACAAAATTTGTTGGGGACAAACTACAAATGTAGGATGATTTGAAGAGCCCATCATCTAATGATGGTAAACTAAAAAAAATATTGCCAACAAGTTATACATTGATAAAATAAATTTATTTTTCATCACTAAATGACATGTACCTATTACTGAATGCATAGCCTACCCAGAGGATATAGGCAAGGCAGGAGACATAATGTGGCACACAGTATATACAAGATGGTTAAAAAACCAGACTAGTGCTTCAACAATCGTTATAATCATTCATAAAAAAATAGATATTGTACTGGTCAAAACAACACCATCCCAATGCTAAGATGCATAGTGAACACACTCCAGTATAGTTTTGCAGACACAAGCAGTTTCAGGTATTGCTAATCGATACATCAAAAATTATAGAATCAACTTCATACCACCCTACTTGAATGAGTTTGATACAATAACAACCAAAATTACTTTTGAATATTTTCAACAAGTATTTAAGAGTACAACTCACAGCTACACTCAACCCGCCACTCCCCCCACCAGCTTTTTATAATTAAAACTAAATTGGCTTAATCAAATTAATACACTGAAGGAAGAAACAACAGTTTCAATACATGGGTTGAGAAAGTCAGTATTGACATCAATGCTATTTTGTTTTTACACATTGGAAAATGAATCCTCTCCAGCATAAATGAAATCAGAACCAAAAGAATGTATGTACATTCCAAATTCAACAAATCCTTAATTTGATGTTAACTTGGAAAAAATGCTCCCATTTGATTCATTTGAATGTCTCTGGCAAGTAATTTTCTAACAGTAAATTCTGCTGAAAGTTATACCCGTAGCAAACTACTCGTGTCACATGGAGTACATTTTATTGTGTTTTGCAGTTTTATGCTCTAAGGACATCCATGGTAGAAGTTGAGAAACTGATGTCACCTCTAGTCATCTTCTATCTATAACAATTCAGATTTCTCATTGTTAATTCTTGAACTGGTCAGTAGAAACTTTTCTGTCCTAAACTGCTCCTGTAATTGGGAATACCTTAACTAGGTCACCTCTAGGACACAGTCCATTGCTTTCATCCATCGTTGTGCAATGTATTTTGTGTGTGATCAATCATTTTTTGTATGATTTCTAGGTTGGATGGATTTACAAAAATCATGCTAGTACATCATACGTTCTATTCTTGAGATCTGTTTTGTCAACTCTTTGAACTGTTTAGGAAACTATCAGGGTAAACACTGGAGAAATAGGGAAATATCATGTAAGAATACCATATCTAAGTCTTATTTGGTTTCTAAAAAATCTTTTCACAACACAATAAATGGGAAAAAATACTGACCTGAAACAAATCCGTACAAATAAGAACAAACATGAAGCATGCATACATGAATATAAATGTTATTTCCAAATAAAATTTACTACAACCTTTTGTTAATAAAATTCTTAGGATAATATGCTGTGTTATACAAATGCTTTCTTGTAAAATAATTTTTCATGATTCTTCAGACTTTGCATACATATAGGTTACACAGTACCATAATACAGCAAATTTGCTATTTAAAATTAGCGAAGACCACAGAAAAGACTGATAAAAAAGATATTGTGAGAAAAAACAATAGATACAACACACTCACACAAAAAAATCTTTACATCTTAAGTCTTTCTAAAGCAATAAAGTGAATGATTCAGATGTATAGGGAAAGTTACCGTAAATATCTTATCTACCATATCCATCAGCAACTATTAGTTCACTTCATCATCAGGTCATTACACATTAAAACACATTTATTAGATACAATCAGTTTTTGCATATCATATGTAATTTTAGTGGAGTTATCACTATACATCATGTATATTCTACAGAAAACAGCAACCATGAGGAGTGCCACACTGACATTGGGTACCAAAGTACATATACAATATACTACAATCAACAAGACATGCACAAAACAATGAATATAAAAATGTAAAAAGTTAACCTCCAATGGTGTCATCAACTGTGTTTCCACATATACATACAGAAATATTTGATATACATTCTTAAAATATACAGGACCAAAAAGCAAGTAATAATCAAAAGAAACATTTTAAAATGGTCTTTGCTGTAATTTTCTCATTTATATGTCACTTAACTGGCATTCAAATATTCTTTCCCCTTCTTCTGGTAAAAAAATGACCTTGTTTAAAAGTCTTGAATTAAGATTTTACTTCAAGACGCAAGAAAGTCAATATCATCAACAAATCCTAAATCCTGATAGTACATCAATTAAAATGACTGCAATAAGTAGTCCATGACAAAGCAACCAGACCTTTAACAAATTGCTTATAACTGGACAGTAAGCCTTGTGTGTATAATCACTAGTCTTATAAGGACTGTTAAGGATAGACTTGTCTAAGAGGCATTTCAGTAAATTAATCTGTAACTTACAAATACAAGGCAGCTAAGTTAAGTCACTCTCAACAGACAGACATTTTCAAAAAGTAATAGAGAAGAGTGTGTACAAGTAGTGTTTCATTACACTTTCCTTTCAGATTTGATAATGGCTTTCCTTCCCTGACCCATCAACCCTATAAAACAAATACATGACGACCTTATGCCACATTCTACCTGTATGTGTGACTTCTCCAGTCTACCTGTATATTTAATCATTTAATATTGATCCATATTTAATCTACACCTCTGCCCTGTTTAGAACCATTCACAGTTTTTCTTTGCAGACCAATATCCTCTGCAAACAACTTTCTAATCTATACTGTTAACGTCAAATGATTGGGAGTACATTTTCCTAATACAAGTTCTCCTGGAGTTGATAGCAATATTTGCAATATTTACGCTGTAAAGTGTACCATTACTGAAAGTTTACAAAAAGAAAGGATCATGCTTTGCTATGTTAATTGTGAGAATGTGAGGTTTTGTATCACAACCTAGGTAATTATGAATCAATCACAATGCAATTAAAGACATGAAAGAACTTCTTGTAAAGAATACATGTAATGATAACTTTCCTGTGGTTCTATATTATTGGTATCATTGGACGGGATGTCATCAACCTTCCCATTAAATATTCAATACATATATTATAAAAATTTAATCTGTATATTGCAATAAATGGATGCAAAATATAACTGATAGAAACAGTGCAATTCCTATCAACCAAATATTTAAATCAAAATAATACACTGCAAATGAGTCAATATGTCCTCACAAACTACAAAGTGCATTCCGACTACAATCTTATAAAATCAAAAGTCTTTAGCAAGTCATAACTGCACTTGATATAAAAATCAGATCATTTGTTTAAAAGAGCTATTTCTGTGCCACTTGTAACAGCACTTATGTATAAAGCATTCCTTTATATATCAACACTATGACTGATAATAACTGGTGTTAATCAGACTAGTGGCTCCGGAATGAGCTTACTATCACATTAAAAGCCAAAGGGAGCAACACTATGGTCAAATACATATGCAGTATTAGTGCACTGAAAACATCACATCTGTTAATGTTTTAACAGGGGTTCACAAGTGTCTGTATAAGCACAAAGATATTGATGAACCAAATGCCAGCTAGGATACTGATGAACCAACTAACGGAAAAGTGCAGTCTGGTAGTCTGAATCAAGCTTGAACTGATTGAATTCCCTCAGTGTTCCAGCACTATGGGATGAAATCCACCACTTGGGCAGTTTTCCCTACAATGGCACTATAAAGTGTCCATAACATATACATATGCTGCAGGAAATAGTCCTTCCTTATTTGAACCACTAAGAATGCCACGCCACCAGTTGGAACAATTTTCTCCTGTTTTGATAATTATGTCGCCTTTCTTGAATGAAATTTCGTCATCATTTTGTCCTTCAAAGTCATACAAGGCTCGAAGCTGTGAACAAAGAAAAATGAAATACACACATGACTAAAATTTGTCCTTAATTTACCCTTTTAAAATAATATCTGTATTTATGACTTTTTTACTCCAATTTAATATATATTTTTCACCAGTACATATTACTGAAGTGAGCTGTATATCTCAGGAAATATCTTACACTTCAAAAATGTGCATCATTGCTTTGTTAAAAACAGCAATCTGGACTCTTAATAGATCACCTTCACTGCTAAGGCAGACCACATACCAACTACAGACACTTATATGAAAGGCATTCATTCTCTCTTGTGAACAAAATGTCCATATTCCACCAAGGAGGATTATTACAAGAAGCAAAGGAAATGTAAAAGCATTGTAAAAAGTGATATTTCAGCATTCATGGCTTCAAACAAACTTTGTGAATAATACACAACAGTCCCTACATGTGTTCACATCAAAATATCAATAGTCAATAGAGGTTATCAAGAATTGAAGAAATGCAATTGTTTATATACCTCTTACTAATCAATTAACCTGATGCCTTATCTTGGATACAATGGCAACCTAGACAAGTTTTAAACTGGTGAATAATGAAGATTTTATAGACCCGACATCTTTATCAATAAGATACTACAGTTTCCATGAACATGGCAACAAGGCTAGTTATGTTTTATTGAAAACTTCAACATCAGCTGGACAAAATAAGATTTTTTCCCAAGGGACAATAAAGGGTTGTCCTAGCAAGTTTTAGTGGACAGATGGATGAGAAAACTGATTCATGGAAAAAACCTCTGAACCCTTGCTGACTTTGTAAAGGTAGAGTAAAAATGAAGTGTGTCTTACCTGGACTTCATCTTTCAGCTGAAATTCAGAAAGAAATTACTTATAAAAATGGTTACTAAATAAATGGCTAAATGAATAATATGCGACAGATTTGGTTTTTTTTTCTTCAAATCAAATGTTATTTTGATTTCAATTTTATTTGCAAGATGATACTAGATCTTTCCATTCTCTTATTAAACAAACCATTTCAACTTAGTACATATATCATTTCTAATGTATTTAAAGGTACACAATAACCTTTATGATATCTTGACTCTTCAATCTTGACAAATGACCACCTAAAATCAAGTGTAGAACAAGAGACTCAATGAGTCTGCACAGTTCATCTGGTATTTCATGCTTTCCACAATCACATTAAAATTTTACAACCTTGACATCCAAAGTTTTGGTTAATTAGAAGGATTTGTTTACAGGTTTCAACAATTTTGACCTCTTTGACCTTAATATGGTTCAAGGTCATTTTTAATTCCAAACATTGTAGGGCTTCACACTGGAACCTTCAGTAAATCATTCTAGGCCTTTTGCCTTATCATCAGAAGTTATTTGAATGTTTCAACAAATATGACATCTGTGACCTTGAATACAGTTAAAAGTCATTGATTTTCTCAAACATTACCAGGCTTCATCACAGAAACCTTTTGGTCAATTAACATGATTCTAGACATTTTGGTTAATCTAAAGAATTTTTTCAATGTTTTAACAAATTTGACTGATGTGACCTTGAATACTGGTTTAGGTCATTTCCTTCCACAAACATTGTCAGACATCATGCAAGGAACAATGCAGCCAAATGTCAAGATTTTAGATCACTTGGTTATTGGTCTTTTTTTCAGAAAAGTGATCCCTGTGACATTGAATATAGACCAAAGTCATTTCCAAACATTGTCAAGCTTTTCAACCTAATGTCAACTATCATGATTCTTAGAATTTGGTTATTGAAGGACTTTTTTCAGACAAAATTGACCTCTGTAACCTTGAATATGTATTATATAGTTTCTTTTTAAAACTACCATGGGCTTAATCATAAGAACCTACTTGTTCAGTATCAAGATTCTAGGTATCTTAGCTTATCAGAAAGATGTTTAAAAAGGTAGTAACAAAATTTACACCTGTGACATTAGATATGGGTTAAGGTCATTTGATTTCATTCCTCGTCACTCACCATTCAAACATTTCAGGATTTCAACAAATTTGACCCCAGTGATATTAAATACAGGTTAAGGTCACAGAGGACAAATGTGTATTACCTTTCATCCTAGCATGGCATTGGCCAAATATTAGCACTCTCAGCTTTTTAGTTACAGACAATACCTTTTTAGAATATTTCAAATATCTTAATCCTGTGACCTTGATTGTGGGTCAACAGAATTTACTTGAGCCAATGGAGTTCATCCTAACACTACAGATCCAGTGCCATCACCTAGAGCCCATAATTAGATGTGGGATAATTGTTCATAATGAATTTTCTTTCAGCATACTTACATCTGTTGGAGCCATATCCTTTAAAACCATATTCTGAGAACGACTGATGGACTTTTCTCTATGATAATCAACAAGCTCATTGATGGATGTGAATTTCTGCACCCACAGAAAGTAGTTACCTCGTCCATCTCGTAATATCTTAAAATGCTGGACATTATCACCCCCTGTTCTGAAATGATAAAACAAAACATTTCCAAACACTGACTTTGTGTTTGCAAGCTTAAGAATCCCAAGATTAACAAGCAAAAGCTCACCACTAATAAGCTGACACCTGTTACTTACATACACCTATACCCTAGCCATCAGAAATAAAGAAGGTTGAGGCTGGAGAGTACAAGTGTTGAGTGATGCAATATTTTGGTTGCAATAGCAAGGCAATCTATTATTAAGTAATTAAATATTAAGCCTTTTAAATAAAACTGGATTAAGATCTAATCATCCCCAAAGTAGCCGACCCCGCAAAACTACTATGTACGTCTATCATGTATGCTTAATTCACTACCAGGATTTCTACCATTCTTAAAGACACCATGATGTTGGTGCCATTTTCCAGCAGGATAATGCACAAATGTGCATCAGTCACATCAGCAGAGATTTCCTGAATCAGAATAACTTGTAGGAGTTTGACTGGCCGTCGAAACCACCCGATTTGTCACCAATTGAGATTGTTTCTCAGGTAACACCTAAGAAGCTGATGACCTTGCAAATGGTGTTCAAACCTGTTACTAAAGCAGTTATGTTATGTTTGAAATTGATCCCATCTGAACACAAAGTTTTGCAATTAACCATGACAGCTGTTTTATCCAAATCGTTAATTTTTTTTCATTTGTACATGACTGATCAAGAATTTATAAAGGGAATAATTAATCACAACATGAAGTTGTGTTACCTTCCTTTTTTTGTTCAGTACATGGCAATACTTACTTCACCGATAAAGAAAACTCTCCTTGTTGACTTTCACTATTTCTGACGAGGAAAGCTCCATCAGGGTGTAAATATGCTCCATTACCATCTTTCTGAGTCAACATCTCTTCAGCTTGAAGTCTTTTTACATCCCCCAGGTACCATCTGTCATAAAACATTAATACTTTAACAAATTAACACCATCATAAGAAATTTAATTAGTGTTCCATTTAAAATGGAACTAGCTAGATAATCATAATTCATTAGAAATGAATTAAAATTACATGTCAAAATTACTTTAGCCTTAGTCAGGTATTTATTACAGCCCTAGAAAAATAAAAGGAACCAAGCTTGTCAAATGACAATTTCAAAACAATATTATGTAGGTGCATGTACACCTAACTAAGGTTTAGTTTCAAAGATTCAATGATTATGTTATAATGAATTTGCTTTATTTTCATGAACATAACATTTCCTCATACATATTCATACATACGGTGCTGATTTCCATTCAATGTAGTTGTTAGGAATAAACCCCTCCTTTCCACATATTTCTGCCTTGAACCAGTTAGCATCCTTTTTCGTATCTGTGATCTACAAAGGATAGAGTAATTATATATTATATATCATTAATGAATATTTCAAAACACCTGTTTTACCAAACTAATCCCTTCAATACTTTTTGTCCTTATCAGGCAATTCATCTGATTAAATAGAGTGTATAAAACATGAACACTGACCACAGACATTAAATGCTATACATAACGATGATTATATTTAGAATCCAAAAGTAATATGATACAGCAAATCATATTATTAGCAATTTTAGTGTTGGCATGAAAAACAAGAATTTCTAAGTTTTCAACAAGATATCCCAGTGCAATTTTAGCCCCTGCCATTGTTTGATCTTTATTTGTTCTTTAAAACTTTTTTTCTCTTCTTTACACTCATTTTACTCGGAGTTATATGGTATTTGGGAATCCCTCTAAATTCTAAATGTTTTTTTCTTATCATTTCCAAAATCAAAATAGCACAACTACTGATCAGTAACAGGTAAACTGTGCATGACATAAAGATCCATCCAGTATTTCTCAAGACATAGTGATAATAAACTATCACTGTGAAAATCCATGACAGTTACATTATTTTCTTTTTGCCAATCACTCCCTAAATCAAAAACACACAACTAAGACCATGGACAACCTACTTCTGAAATCTGATAAAAAAAATCCAGTACTTCCCAAGAAATAGAAATACATGTATAACAAGTCAAAGCTTCATAGACAACATGTCTGCCTGTCAGCTATTTTGTTTTTCTAATCAGTCATAAACTCAGAGGGCACAACACAGGGACCAAGAGGCATGAAATCTGTCAAGATCCAAAGTAACTTAATTTAGTTTAAACATATTTTATTGCCAAGTGTAAGAGCAAAAGGATTAGACACAAGTTATTTCAACTCACGAGGTCTTCTCCAATATAACTTTCCAGTACCTGCGTTATAATCCCTTATTGAAGTCACATTTTTCCTTAGTTCTGTCTTATTCCACTACCTTTCAACATTTATCCTGATGTTTCATCGATAAAGATGTGAATTTGTAAAATATAACTATTACTAAAACAACTTTTTTCATATTATCAAGTTGTGATCAATTTAACATCAACAACAAATACACCCTAGACATTGGCAAGAATGTGTCGATCAAGTGAGAAAAAATGTTCTATACATCAAGAAAACGTTCGCAGAACACGAGGACGTAAAGGTACCAGCAAATCTCTCATTGCAGCAACGATAAAAACTACTGTGCATGACTCATGCCAAGATGACGAAAAAACATTCATGAATTTTGAAGCCCAGTTTGTTCACGGTGACGTTATGGAGTACCAAGAACAAAGATATTTTGGCATCGAGTTATCCCAAAAAATCCATCAACAGTTAAACTACGTTCCATATATTACAAAACAAAGAACTTTATAAATAAACAGTACCTGACAGTCTCAAAATACAGTAGACATAATTAGCTACACATAAACATTTGTGCACCGAGGCGACGAGACCCATGGTTTTTGACAGTTTAATAAACAAAAAATATTGAAGAAGAATAAAAGTTATAAATACATCGGAACAGAATGCAAATCAATAGCAAACCTTCAGTGTTACGTTTCTTGTGAAGCTTAATTCATCTTCAGCGGTTGCGTTGAAGTCGTGCTTGGCTCTCGCCTCCATCTTGGATTTTGTTAACTCTTTTGTCCACACAAGATTACTGCGCCGTTCAAAATGTGTTCATTACTACAACCCTCTGAAATACTCCTCCAAATTAATATGAAGCAATAAATTACAACTAAATGGAAACATCATTGGTTTCATCAAAATAAACAACATGTCAATGTCTAGGAATCTTTAAATGATGACCTATATTCGACGTCGAACGTGGTATATTATTGTGAGTAACTCGGTTGTCAGAGCCAATAGGCCTATACCATTGGTACGGAACTTTAGGAGTTTCTAGCCTTCCGTGACTGCAAATATATTTCGGATTCTTAGACCAATTTCAACTAAAGTATCGATTTGATGCACAACTCTACACCCTCAAAGATAAGCCTTAATGTAGAATAGATACGTGTTGGCAACTGTACCTGGAATGTAAACAGCTGAAAATCAGACATTTTGCACGCAGCGTGTCCTAATGATAACTGCTATGTGAAAATTTAATATACTTAAAGTAATCGGACCAATGGCACATAAACAACTTGATTATTAAGCATTCAAACATTCAAAGTGAACTATGATAAAGGAAACCGCCGAGATTAAAATCTTGATAAAATTACCTCTCTGAGAAAACAAAAAAAAATCCTATTAAAACAATTTTAAAAGTGTTAAAATGACCACATCTCAAACGAATTTGATAGAAGCTCGAGCTGTCTAAGAAAGACCTTGGGGAAAATATACACAAATATGATAGATGGCGCTAAAATGTACAACATTTGTGTTTGTTTACGTCGTTCTCATGTCGGCCCTGGCTTTGTAGAGCTTACTTATCTCCCCTTCATCAAGTTACGGAAGGAACATCGAAATGACGTAGTCAGTGAGTGTATCAGATCAACAGTCATAGGATATGGTAATATACGTGATTAAAATGTCCATCAATCACATTTTGATTCAACTCTTTCTGAACAATTTGTAAAAAAAGTTGTTAACGTAAAGCAGGTATCAATACAGGTATCACTGAAATCCGAGACATATATATGTGTTATATACGTCTCTGTTGAAATCAAGTTGAAATATCTAAAATGGAATCTAGATATCGATTAATTTAGATATTAAAAAAAAATCACATTTTTTTGCAGAATACACAATTTTATATTCAGACATCCACTTAATTTACATCTTGCCGAATGTGTTGATTCTTAGACAGCCAGATCCGATGTTGGAGAACGATCGTGATAAACGTGGTAGAAATGTTACAAATTTGAGCATTATCTATCATATATTTCGGATATACTAATACCTAAAGAGTTTTGGATAGCATTAGGTTTTTCGTCGCGCCAATTACTTTTTTTTAGTAATCAACTGCCCATATGGAATTTGTGATCCATGCGAAAACCAATATACAGATACAGCCCCTCCCTCCGTTGACCCACCACATCCGAAATTTGATAAAAATTAGAACTGTTTGAGAATAGTTCAACTCGCTTATTGATGCCATATCTCTAAGTTAAATAAAAAATTACCTCTCAGTTATACCCCTAGATACAGTGGCGTAGCCAGGATCTAAAGTTGGGGGATGGGGGGGGGGGGGGCGCGAAGCTTTGGCTGGTGGTCCCCTCCCCCAGAAAATTTTGGCTCCATTTCCTGCACTTTGAGCGTATTTTGTATTAAAAAAAACCTCAACGGATATACACGTTTCACAAAAGTCCCCCTTGCCTACGCCAGTGCCTAAATAAGCAAATAGGATTCAGCATATGGCTAACAATTCGTATTAAAGCATTACTTATTTAGTGACCAACAGCTCATATTGACATGTGATACAGCCCTGCTTGAAAAACTTGAAATGATACAACACAAAGCACTTAAATTAGCTGAGGGCTTGAAAAATAATACATATCCATCGTAAGCCTACATACAGAGTCCAGCTTTAGTGAAATACCATTAAAATTAAGAAGAGAGACGAAATGACACCAAAATATTACGGTCTAGAACTCAAGACTAGAATTTCCACCTAACGTTATGGTAGAACAAGATATGCAGATCACTCTAAAATTTCGCCAAAATAACACAGTACGATCAGGCATATTCTCACTAGATACGACTTCATTATCAGTTTGACATACAAATGTTCAGTCTACACTAGTTAATTAATAGCGTATTAAATTTTGTAGATAAGATAAATGGCTGACAATTTTTCCGTCTCCGTGACTCCTCCCGTGTCCGAGTATCGTCTCACCGACAAACGTCAGTATTCTGGCGACGTGTCTTATTAGTGATTGACAGGTTTTCCGTCTCCGTGACTCCTCCCGTGTCCGGTATCGTCTCACCGACTAACATCAGTATTCTGGTGACGTGTCTTATTAGTGATTGACAGGTTTTCCGTCTCCGTGACTCCTCCCGTGTCCGGTATCGTCTCACCGACGAACGTCAGTGTTCTGGCGACGTGTCTTATTAGTGATTAAAAGCCATATTTTCCGTCTCCGTGACACCTCCCGTGTCCGGTATCGTCTCACCGACGAACGTCAGTATTCTGGTGACGTGTCTTATTAGTGATTGACAGGTTTTCCGTCTCCGTGACTCCTCCCGTGTCCGGTATCGTCTCACCGACTAACATCAGTATTTTGGTGACGTGTCTTATTAGTGATTGACAGGTTTTCCGTCTCCGTGACTCCTCCCGTGTCCGAGTATCGTCTCACCGACTAACATCAGTATTCTGGTGACGTGTCTTAATAGTGATTGACAGGTTTTCCGTCTCCGTGACTCCTCCCGTGTCCGAGTATCGTCTCACCGACTAACATCAGTATTCTGGTGACGTGTCTTATTAGTGATTGACAGGTTTACCGTCTCCGTGACTCCTCCCGTGTCCGGTATCGTCTCACCGACTAACATCAGTGTTCTGGCGACGTGTCTTATTAGTGATTAAAAGCCATGTTTTCCGTCTCCGTGACTCCTCCCGTGTCCGAGTATCGTCTCACCGACTAACATCAGTATTCTGGTGACGTGTCTTAATAGTGATTGACAGGTTTTCCGTCTCCGTGACTCCTCCCGTGTCCGGTATCGTCTCACCGACTAACATCAGTATTCTGGTGACGTGTCTTAATAGTGATTGACAGGTTTTCCGTCTCCGTGACTCCTCCCGTGTCCGAGTATCGTCTCACCGACTAACATCAGTATTCTGGTGACGTGTCTTATTAGTGATTGACAGGTTTACCGTCTCCGTGACTCCTCCCGTGTCCGGTATCGTCTCACCGACTAACATCAGTGTTCTGGCGACGTGATATAAAAATACCCAAGTCGCCTGCCTGATTACTTTGGTGTTAACGGTCATATTTTAACCAAACTTTTCTAACAGAGGAAATCATGGTTTTGGTATTCAGCATCATTTAAAAAACTTCTGTGTGTGTTTAAATCACTCTGTGTGCAAACGCTCACGTTTCCAGTAGAAAAGTTGTCAGATTTAACAGACGCATTTTATCGCCATACTGAATATGACATCAGGTCCGAACTCGAAGTTTGTCCTGGTCATTGATCTATAAATCATCAATGACATTGATTCGTTTGTTTGTTTGAAGCAGTGCCTCTGGATCGTATAGTGGTTGAAATTAACCATCATCCGTCTCTAACAAATTACTTGTTTGTTTTAATGACGTTGACACCTTCCGTCTCGAGTACCGTCTGTTCCAGTCCTCCCCTTTCCTCTGAACTCTCTGCGTAAGTGTACGCCAGTTATCAATATCATGACACAAATTTCACCAGTTATCACGATTTTACATCTCCTCTCCACACAAAGCTACTCAAACTATGGTCACCCTCATTCTCATGATGTGACTAACATACCACATACTGTTAGCTGTTCTGAAAACGAAATTAGATACAATGTTATCCTATCGTATGCAACCACTGTTATTACTGACCATAACACGTGCCTGTACTTTTGGCTAATGCACAGACCTAGACAACGTTCCCTACAGACCTGTTTATTCAGTAAAGAACTACCATCTCTTACGAAAATCTTACTGAACAACCAAATCGAGCTCAACCCGGGTCAAAGGACACCAAGTTGGCCTTTTGGGTCATTTTGAAAAGCTGTAACTTGGAAATCCAAAGCTGTTGAATGTGATACATGTAACGTATGGCACCACATCGGCTGCCAAGGCATATCATGGTATATATATAATATTTACGGCAGTAACATTAGTTGGCACTACCTTTTCTGTGAAGTGCCAAAATTCTCAACTATTCATTCAATGGGATACCTCTTCCACATGTCTCCCTAAAATTCAGTCTCGAATTTGAGCAACAACTTTAATAGTCCAGGTGTGCTGCTTTTCACCAATTCCACACCATTCCAGCAAAATCAACGGAGACCAGCCAACCGATATAATCAAAGACTTTGACAATAAATATTCAATCGATAAACACAACTGGATCTCCTTATAGAAAGTATAAAACCTTATGTTATTACTGGCACTGAAACCTGACTTTCTCCATCATCATCCTTTTTTGAGTTCTTTGAAAGCGATAAATACCAAGTTTACAGGAAATACAGACCCCAAAATAAACAAGGCCACATTCCACGGAGGTATTTTAATTGCTGTGAATAACCAATTCCAATCTGTTTCCGTTCCTAACCTGAGTGTAAATGCTGAAAACACCTGGGCAGAAATATCTACGTTCAATGCCCTCCTTCTGAACAAAACACTCTATCACTTGACCAACTTTGCCAATCTCTTCCTAAAATGCCAACTCCATCCTGATCCTTGAAGGAGATTTCAATCTGAATAGCATAGGCTGGACTGTCTCCGGTTCCAGGCAAAACAGACATCACCAACCCCTCTAAAACCTAATAAATGACCATTCTTTACACCAAATTGGTAACCAGCCTACAAGAAATGACACAATCTTTGATGTCATTCTCATAAATAACCCAGGAATTACAGACCACATACGTACACAACCACCATTAGGCAAGGCAGACCTTGATATTATTTTGGCAGATTTTCGCATTTCCCTTACCAGAAAT